ATTTGGTTTCTCAAGGTGAGGCTGTTCTGTCATGCCCTCTACCTGGGTCCGTTCAGATAGGACAGATTAAGCCTGATACAGAGGCTATTTCTTTTGGGCTATTGCCCGTGTATATTTGGTAAATCTACTTGTATATTTAGCATGATATGGCGCTTTTACCATTGGATCACCAAGACCTATAAATACATCTACACTATGAGAACGTCAACCTGCCTTGCCTTCTGCTGATTTCATGCCCTTACGACTGCTACAAGGTCCCTAATTTACAATTACATGGGCTAATCAAAATGTGTTGTAGACAAAAAAATGAAGAGGGCTGTCTGGTAGCCTCAATAAATAGACAAAGATTTGTAGTTGAACAAGTCCTTGCATGTATAGATTGTTTTTACTTGACATGAGACTTGACTTAAACTTGTGACTCGACTTGACTTGCTCTTAGAAAGCATGACTTGGACTTGACTCGAGTCTTGACCTGTTTGTTCGACTTGGGACTCGACTTGAGACTCGGACCTTGTGACTTGAGACTTGCTTGTGACTCGAATAATAGTGACTTGGTCCCACCTCTGTCATTTCTCAAAGATGGTACCGACAAATGTAGCCTATTGCAAATCATTATACGATATTAATAAAATGCATCCTCCAATTGCAACTTCTGCCTATGCTCACACATATGGTTTAAGAACATTTTCTATTTTTAATTATTTATTTATTTTTAGTCATTTAGCAGACGCTCTTAATACCCTCAAGAACTAAGTTAGGCACACCTAATTTCAAAATATGCCATGGCATCATCACTGTCAATAGTGAATGATAATTCTTCACGTTTTACAAGTGAAATGTCCAAACTGCTTCTGCATGCCAATAATTTGACCTCAATCAGTTTCATGGGAATATGCATTTAGATCTTCTTGAATTACTGTTTCGTGAGACAACTAGAGCAAACTAGTAGCAAATAGCCTTCCGATATTATGTTTTAATCAAAGCACATTCTGCCAAGTGGCCAGCTCTGTTGAGTTTTGGCCGCATTATATATATATATTTTTACTATTCAGCTAACCATCCTTAAATCTAATAAGAAATTAGGTGCTGTTTTTGGTGTAACAGTAATGTTATACTTTTTTTTATATAAGTGTTATGTAGAATACTAATTAATCATTATGTGATCTTCCAAGACATTGATTCAGCTTTGATCTAACTTTACTAAACGAGCACCATTGTGAGAAGTGGCGGGGCGCTATGGTAGCACTACACCCCTGCAGTCCGCTGAACCGAACAAGCAATTGATGCGCCCCTAGCCTACTCTTTTGCCTTGCACAAAACTTGGTGATGCAGAAACGAGAGACCTGGGAATATTTGGCCAAGGAAACATCTCTGGTTGGTCTTCGGGAATGCAAAACCGTTAGGAAAGGAGTATTTAAAACGAGATTGAGTGAAGTAGCAGCAAATATGTTGAATGAGCAACTAATGAGCATGTAGAACCTCACAAGTTTGACTAATTTACCTTATATCTTTCAGTTTAATTGGGCTATTTATTTACTTTTGTAGCTCTTCATCAAAAGCACGTTAGCTAGGCCTAACTGTCCTCTCCAACTTTAGCTGGAATTTAGCCTGAAAGGACTTGAGAAATATGATTGGTTGACCATAGGCCTATGCAGTGGCGGCTCCTGAAAAAATTCTCAGGAGGGGCAATTTTTCTGATGATTTAGGTGACCTACACACATTTAAAAAAAAGATATGTCCAGCAACAACATGAAGACAGGGGCAGCATATAAGTCAATACCAGAAGCATTTATTGACTGATCTCAAAAGTGTTGGCTTACCAGGGTTGGTGGAGCCCTCAGTTTCATCTTTGCCTCGCAAAGCTAACTCAAACACTCCGCAAAACTTCACACACTGGATTAGCCGGCTGAGGATGTGGCGGTTCTTGCTAATGTCGTAGTAAATATATTTGTTATAGTGAATATGGAATATGATATGTTGAGTAAAATGTTGTGCTAAGATCTATTTAGGTCAGGAGCTGGTTATAAGTTCCGTTCCTATCCAATAACAATGGACAAAAGGGTCCTATCTTGTCAGCCTTGTCAGCAGGTGGCCAAGGACAACACCCACGCCATAGGCCTCTCAGTTCTTCCAACTCAAGAGTTCTTGCTCTGAGGACACACACACACACAAACACACACACACACACACACACACACACACATCATCACTGTTAAACACACACACACACACACACATCATCACTGTTAAACACACACACACACACACACACAAAAATCCCCTCTCTTAGGCTGAACATTTGAAGACAGAGAACCCGACTCAGAGCCAATGCAACAGTGACAGTAGCCTGGAGGTGACCTCGCCCAACTCATCAGGACCAATCAGAAGATCAGAACTACTAGATTGAACCTACTTCATTTATTGCATAAAATGTCTGCACACAATGTTTCGGGGCTCTCTTCAGATAATAATAATAATAATAATAATAATATGCCATTTAGCAGACGCTTTTATCCAAAGCGACTTACAGTCATGCGTGCATACATTTTTACGTATGGGTGGTCCCGGGGATCGAACCCACTACCTTGGCGTTACAAGCACCATGCTCTACCAGCTGAGCTACAGAAAGTGGATACTCATGGATGCGCATTGCAATTGTAAAATGTCAACACAATTGGAGACACCACGTCATTTTTGGAGACATGTTATTGACAGTAAACTATTGTAGATGCGACTGCTAACTAAATAAAACATTTTAGCTGGCTAGCTAATCATCTTAGCTAAATGTGGGGCAAACAATTCAGTTATTTACCGTTAATTTGAGGGATTGGGGTGAAAGAAATCGAGTTACATAGTGATACTTTACGATATACTGTATTGACAATATCGCAATATTTTAGCGCTAGTTGGCTGTACCTGCACCAAAACAACATTATTGTTCCTTCATAGCTTGTTCTCAATCTTTTCACATTGGGAGCCAATTAGTTTTCAGCACTTTTATTTCCATGACTGATCAAAACTCGTTCTCATGGCTTTCTGATCCCTCTGCAACAGACATATGGTGCGCAATAAAATCACAGTATCGAATCGCAATACGTATAGAATCATGAGACTCGCAATGCTGATGCATATATCTTATCGTGAGGTTCCTGGCAATTCCCAGGCCAAGTTCATTTGCCACAACAAATCTCTTCGCTAGCAAACGCGATGTCTTCTCCAAAACGACAATGTGTCTCCAGCAATGTTTACTTTTTTGACGTTCTATGGCATCTCCACTTTCCAAGCATATATGACCACATGTAATATTTTGGTAAGTGATGCAAATAGTGAACTATGTAGGGCCAGGATGTAAAATATATGTAGCTGCAGCAATTTCTCTTATCTGATATGGTAAGTAATGGGGCTTAATGTATAGCTCCCTAAGAGTTTGACGAACGGGTCCGTGAACGCGATTCCAGATATATTTACCTCTGAATAAACTGCCTTTATTACACCATATCCACACATCCAGTAAACTTGTGATTATCAACACTAACCTCATCGTTGTGGCGGCGGACAGCTAGCCTGTATCCCTCGTCATCCAGTTGAGTGAGTGGCAATGTCTTTTTTCGTTCGTACCAATTTTTGGAAAATCCTCGGGTGTAGGACTTTCCGCCTTTAGTAGAAACCTGTTGAATTATTAAATTTGGTCTGGGAGGTCCTAATTGTTTCGTTGCCAATTTATCTTAATTTGTTCGCCGACAAAAAGGAACTTCTTTCAAAGACACAATCGAGTTGGACTGAAGCCTAGCCATTTTGATAGTAGTAGTGAATTGATTGAGGCTGCTACCTGGTCTTTTCTTAGTTACGTTCATTCGTGGTTACGTTATGTATGACGAAAGCGCGTAAGTGCAAGCCCACAGACACCCATAGAGAATGTATTGAAAGCTTTGAAATGTGAAAAAAATAGATTTTACATGACAGGCTATGAGAGACTTCTGGGCGATTTTCAACCTGACTGAAATCGCCCAAAAAACGGGCGGGGCCATTTGAAGCACGACTTTAGCCTGATTTGACATTTAGTGGCTGTCAGATCAGACGTGAACACTGATAACTGCTGTTGCCGTGATATAATTTTTTATAAATTTATAAAAAAAAAAAAAAAAAAAAAATTTATTTTTTATTTTTTATAATTGATTAGAAAAAAAATCCCTTCCTTTTCCCGTTTGGCAGTGCGTCGCCCATATCGCCCTATTGAACAAGCCGTCCCTGGGCCTATGTGTCGTCTCAGATCTCAACAATGATTGGAGAAGTGTTTAACATCACCAGTAGGCTTAAGCTACCACATCATTATGATATATATTTTAACACGCGCAACGTGACTGCAAGAGAGGTCTGAATGTCTGACTGATATACCGGACCAATTAGTGGTGTTTGATTGCGGGACAAAGGGCAGGACTGTCCCGCACAATCGAGGACACCTGGTCACCCTAGAAGAGAAGAGATAGCCATTAAGAACGTCACATCAGAATACATTTACGTCATTTAGCAGACGCTCTTATACAGAGCGACTTACAATTTGTGAGTGCATACATTTTCATACTGCCCCCCCCCCCCCCGGGAAACGAACCCACAACCCTGGCGTTGCAAGCACCATGCTCTACCAACTGAGCTACAGGAGACAAGTCTAGGGCACTAGGCATCTAAATACATCAACTAAGAATTTGAAAGTACTGAACATGTTCAGTAAAACAAATTGCAGGTTTGGTCATTCTCATGCACGCGCGCTTTCATATGATTGACAGCGATCATCATGCGCGAGAGGCTACCTACCAGTAACAATGGCCAAGCTAGCCAGCTAACGTGCTCGTTCATGTAGGCATCACATCTGATATTTTTACAGTACAACGAGAATAAGAGTAACTGGGGTTAATAGTAAAGTTAGCTAGCTATATGAAGTTAGTAAAATACCAATAACTTGGGGTAATTTGCCTCAGGTGTTGATGAACTCGGCTTGAATGATGGATCACAAAATGGAGCGAAGTCCTCCTACCAATGGTAAAATTGCGTGGCTAACTTTGGCTAGCTAACGAATGATAGCTAGCTTGTTAGTGTGACGTTTGTTTGCTTTAACGCAAAGTTTGTTTACCATTCTCCATTGTTAGGTAGCCAATTATCGTGACATTGATGGGCTAGCTAGTTAAGCTACTTCTTGTGAACATTGGGCTAACAGTTAGCGCCAGTATTGTCGTGGAAGATGGCTAATTGCGCATAGGTGGGAGTGTCTGGTGTCGAACGAGATTAGAAGATGCATAGCTAGCTAGCAAATGAACACAACAACATTATTGTTTTCCCTTGCTTTCAGGGACAGACACCGCGGAATGGGGTCTTAGAAAAGCTAAACTTGTCGTGGCCGTTGCCATAATAAAGAGTAAACCTCCCGGGAGAAGTGGTCGGAGGCACGCTGAACATTTGGCCAACACGCTGAGTAGCCAGACTGAGGCCTGGAAGACCAAAGCCCAGAAGCTGCAGGAGGAAGTGCTCAGAATGCGTCAAGAACTCCTTCTCACCCAGATGCTCTCAAAGCCAAAGAACACCAGTGGAACAGAAGCTGGTGGTGGGTCTCATTCATCCTCTGCTGGTTTGTAGCTAGCTAACCCCCACTCCTTTAAAGTGTGACTAATAGCATATACCCCATGTTAGACATTTCCTTTATTAGGGCGGCAGGTAGCTTAGTGGTTAAGAGCGTTGTGCCAGTAACCGAAAGGTCGCAGTTCTAATCCCCGAGCCGACTAGGTGAAAAATCTGTCGATGTGCCCTTGAGCAAGGCACTTAACCCTAATTGCTCCTGTAAGTCCCTCTAGATAAGAGCGTCTGCTAAATGACACATTTTTATTTAATAATAATTAGTCTCCTATTGGTCAATCACGTGAATACAGTATACTCAGTAGGCCCATTGTACTTTAGGTCTGCTGGATAGGCCCATAGCAATGCATTTAGAATTAGATATATCTGTGGCTCTGGATAGGGCTGCAGTTTTGTACTGTCACAGTAAATAGCCTCCCAGTTTTATTATTTTGTTCAATTGATGAACAGCAGGATTCATGCTCATTTAAATGTAGCTCATTTTCAGTTAGTAAAGGACTGCTCAGCATGGATGGTTATTGGATTACAATGTCTACATGAGGAGTGGAGCCTAGTTTTCATACCCTAGTTATCAGCCGGGTGTATTATTGAACTGAAGGCCATTGTGGCCAATGAGCATCTCGCTCATTAATGAAGTTGAGCATCATGGACACACAAGGTTGCTTTGGAAACAAGGCCCGTTGATGTGCAAAACACGTAAGAATTAGACCTATATGAAATTACACAAGGTGATGGTGAATTACTTAAAAGGCGAGAGAGACATGATTGAATGGGGTTTAATGACAAAGCTAATTGTGTGAAAATTAAGGATGTTTTAGATATAGGGCCTAATGCTTAATTCAGTGACATAATGTATAATGAAGCTGACAATGAGATGTGCATAGTGATTAAGCGCATGTCCTACTTGGTGCAACCTGCAGGAGATGACTTCAAGGACCTTCTCTCTCAGGACCTCATGGGGCCGGGCTTGGTGAAAGACCTGCTCAACTCAGACATGGACTCCGGCTATGGGATGGAGAACAACACAGAGACACTTCTGCCCACTCAAGACTCTGCAGAACCCAGTGCCCAGCCAGCCTTCCCAACTGTCGACACCACACCCCCCCAGATCCCATTCTCTAGCCTGTGTGAGGCAGGCTCTCGGGGGAAGGCCATGCTGCTCCACATGCAGTTTCTCCAGAGCCTGTGTGGGCTGAACAGGTTGGAGGGGGAGGCAATGAGTGTGGAGGCTGGAGGGTTTAGCCTGGACAAGGACAGGTCGGTGGTGGCAGACTCGGTGTGCCAGCTGCTGTCCTGTGTGGTGTCTGCTAGTAGGGATGTCAGACTCCTGCCCCCACACTCACTGCTCCTGCAGGCGTGCCGGGTGGTGGCCCAGGCAGTGGATCACTGGCTCTCCCACAGACAGCCCTCCCTGCTTTTTGTGACAGGCATGGAAGATTCCCTGAAACAGCTCACTGATGTTCTATTATGCAACGGCCAGCTCAACAGGGTAAGAGAATATAATGCATATCGTAGTCAATTAATGATAATGTTTTACAGTATTATATTTGTGTAGGTGTTTAAAACATACTTCCTTTAATAGGTAACACCAGACAGTAAACCCTAATTGTTTTTATTCCAAAGCGAGAGGTTCTCAGTCCTAGTCTCACTTACATTGTGGATGATCATTGCATGGCTAAATGTAATATCAAGTTGACCTGAGATTGATGAGTTCAGTGGTTCTTAGTATGCAGTCCAGAATAAGTGCCAGTATGTTTCATTACCCTCAGAAAGAAATTACAGTCATCAAAGTGGCATTGAAGTTTATAGGTGATCATATCACCAGCTGACTGGTTTTCTGATCCACGCCCCTACCTTTTGTTTTTAAGGTATCTGTGGCCAACAGATGCATATGCGTATTCCCAGTCATGTGAAATCCATAGATTAGGGCCTAATTAATTTATTTCAATTGACTGATTTCCTTACATGGACTGTAACTCAGTAAAATCTTTGAAATTGTTGCGTTTATATTTTTGTTCAGTGTAAATTGAAGACAGACAATTTTCTGTTTTAATGCAACAGTAACATTAATATAGACTGATACTGAAGGAGGAAGGAAAGGAGAGCATGGAGAAACTAGTGAGATAAAATGGAGAACGGCACCACATCCACTGTTAGTTATGACTAATCATGAGTTATGACTGGCAGTACCAATACTTATTAGCTTCTGAGGGGACAGACAATCACCTTAGTGTCAGCAGGCTTGAATAAAGGCTGTCACAGTTGAGTTGTGGAGGGCGTGTTGTCCCTTTCCGAATGAAGATTAATAGGTGGGAGGTTATATGTTGCTTTTAGGCCAATTGTTATCACAGATCTAGCCACAAGTCACTTTGGATTTCCTGAAAAACTGCTTGAAAGATTCTTAACTGCTGCTAAAGCATTATGGTGATTATGTGGTACCAAATAACTTCCAGTAATTGGACCATTGCTTTAGAGGCTCTGACATGCTGAATCATAGTTGTTTTGGTTACCATATCATATGAATGGCCAGCAGTTTGCATGTTAATCTCGGCAGGAACCCAGAAACAAGTCTGTGCTGGCCAACAGTCTGTCACCAGAGACTGTGTCATAGCATTTCCATTATCCCCAAATAGGCTGTAAGTTGCCCGTATAGGCTAGGTCAGGGATGGGCACCTTTGATGGGGTGGGGGCCACAATAAATCTGAACTCATCATGAGGGGCTGCAGTTGCGGTGCCAACACGACCCTCCCCCCAAGATAAAATGTGTACGTTTTAGAGTTCATTTCATGCAATTCTACACATTTTGCCATGGGATGGAGAGAAGATTTTGGAATTTGATAACACATTTCCTGCAATTCTACACATTTTGCCTTAGGGTGGAGAGAAATATATATATATTTATATATATATTTTTTAGGGGGTAGATCAGCTTTAATATTGCAGATAGATTGTAACTTCCATCAATGTAATTGTCTGCATCACTTCCAATCCCCCATATGTATTTTTTTTCTCGCATATATATATATACACTGCTCAAAAAAATAAAGGGAACACTTAAACAACACATCCTAGATCTGAATGAATGAAATAATCTTATTAAATACTTTTTTCTTTACATAGTTGAATGTGCTGACAACAAAATCACACAAATTATCAATGGAAATCAAATGTATCAACCCATGGAGGTCTGGATTTGGAGTCACCCTCAAAATTAAAGTGGAAAACCACACTACAGGCTGATCCAACTTTGATGTAATGTCCTTAAAACAAGTCAAAATGAGGCTCAGTAGTGTGTGTGGCCTCCACGTGCCTGTATGACCTCCCTACAACGCCTGGGCATGCTCCTGATGAGGTGGCGGATGGTCTCCTGAGGGATCTCCTCCCAGACCTGGACTAAAGCATCCGCCAACTCCTGGACAGTCTGTGGTGCAACCACCAAACCATCAGCCAGGAAGCATAGGAACTGAGAAGTGGTCTGTGGTCACCACCTGCAGAACCACTTCTTTATTGGGGGTGTCTTGCTAATTGCCTATAATTTCCAGCTGTTGTCTATTCCATTTGCACAACAGCATGTGAAATTTGTCAATCAGTGTTGCTTCCTAAGTGGACAGTTTGATTTCACAGAAGTGTGATTGACTTGGAGTTACATTGTGTTGTTTAAGTGTTCCCTTTATTTTTTTGAGCAGTGTGTGTATTTATATATATATATATATATATATATATACATACATACATATCCTTAAAAACATATATATTTCCCTTTATTATTTTCCAACCCCACCACCCCATCCCTAATTTGAGTAAACTAGTGAACAACAATGCTTAGGCCTCTACTTCCAGCTTATACAGTGGGGAGAACAAGTATTTGATACACTGGCGATTTTGCAGGTTTTCCTACTTACAAAGCATGTAGAGGTCTGTAATTTTTATCATAGGTACACTTCAACTGTGAGAGACGGAATCTAAAATAAAAATCCAGAAAATCACATTGTATGACTTTTAAGTAATTAATTTGCATTTTATTGCATGACATAAGTATTTGATCACCTACCAACCAGTAAGAATTCCGTCTCTCACAGACCTGTTAGTTTTTCTTTAAGAAGCCCTCCTGTTCTCCACTCATTACCTATATTAACTGCACCTGTTTGAACTCGTTACCTGTATAAAAGACACCTGTCCACACACTCAATCAGACTCCAACCTCTCCACAATGGCCAAGACCAGAGAGCTGTGTAAGGACATCAGGGATAAAATTGTAGACCTGCACAAGGCTGGGATGGGCTACAGGACAATAGGCAAGCGGCTTGGTGAGAAGGCAACAACTGTTGGCGCAATTATTAGAAAATGGAAGAAGTTCAAGATGACGGTCAATCACCCTCGGTCTGGGGCTCCATGCAAGATCTCACCTCGTGGGGCATCAATGATCATGAGGAAGGTGAGGGATTAGCCCAGAACTACACAGCAGGACCTGGTCAATGACCTGAAGAGAGCTGGGACCACAGTCTCAAAGAAAACCATTAGTAACACACTACGCCGTCATGGATTAAAATCCTGCAGCGCACGCAAGGTCCCCCTGCTCAAGCCAGCGCATGTCCAGGTCCGTCGGAAGTTTGCCAATGACCATCTGGATGATCCAGAGGAGCAATGGGAGAAGGTCATGTGGTCTGATGAGACAAAAATATAGCTTTTTGGTCTAAACTCCACTCGCCGTGTTTGGAGGAAGAAGAAGGATGAGTACAACCCCAAGAACACCATCCCAACCGTAAAGCATGGAGGTGGAAACATCATTCTTTGGGGATGCTTTTCTGCAAAGGGGACAGGACGACTGCACCGTATTGAGGGGAGGATGGATGGGGCCATGTATCGCGAGATCTTGGCCAACAACCTCCTTCCCTCAGTAAGAGCATTGAAGATGGGTCGTGGCTGGGTCTTCCAGCATGACAACGACCCGAAACACACAGCCAGGGCAACTGAGTGGCTCCGTAAGAAGCATCTCAATGTCCTGGAGTGGCCTAGCCAGTCTCCAGACCTGAACCCTATAGAAATTCTTTGGAGGGAGCTGAAAGTCCATATTGCCCAGCGACAGCCCCGAAACCTGAAGGATCTTGAGAAGGTCTGTATGGAGGAGTGGGCCAAAATCCCTGCTGCAGTGTGTGCAATCCTGGTATATGAAATACTTATGTCATGCAATAAAATGCAAATTAATTACTTAATCATACAATGTGAATTTCTGGATTTTTGTTTTAGATTCCGTCTCTCACAGTTGGAGTGTACCTATGTTAAAAATGACAGACCTCTACATGCTTTGTAAGTAGGAAAACCTGCAAAATCGGCAGTGTATCAAATACTTGTTCTCCCCACTGTACATACTATAAATATTTTATGGACACAGTCAATTTACTCCTGAACTTCCTCTACCTTGGAGAGAAATGTTTGCAGTTTTTAATATGATATCTGAGCGAGAATGTCAAATAAAATCAATGGGGGCCCCCCGGGCGGTAATTAGACTATGATTACTCTAAGTTTAGATAAATGGCCGCTAGACTAACTTAACAATCTAAAAATGTTAATTGAGTGACTATCAGTGACTGACATAACAAGAGAAAAACTGCTGATGCACAAACACATTTTGAAATTGCACCTTGTGTATTCTAACTACAACAGTAAGTTAAGACTCCAACTGAGTATAGAGAAGAAAAAAAACAGTTGTATAATTTTTTTTTGGTGGGGGGGGAGTGATCCGAGGGTGTGCAAAAGGGGGGCGGCCCACGTGCCTCCAGTTGCCCATCCCTGGGCTAGGTCATTGTGATGAGTGTAAATAATGTATAGAATTACTTCCATTGGGAGCTCTCATGTTTGAAAAATGTCTGGCTAAATTTCAGATAGATATTTGCAAACGCTGAGTCCCAAATGGCACCCTATTCCCTTTATAGTGCACTACTTTTGACCAGTGTCCATGATCAAAAGTAGTGCACTGTATAGGAAATAGAGTAGCATTTGTGACACATAAAACGCCTAGGTCTCTGCATATTTAGCATGTCATCAAGGTTACTGTTATTTAGAGGGACAGTAGATTGATGACCAGTCAGTCAAGAGGGAAAACCTATAAGCTAGAAGTCAGTTTAATGTCAGTGAAGGAGGAACAGTCACAGCTGCTCTAGTCTGGAGAGTACAGAATGTTTTTCCAATCGTAATACAGTGTGTACACAGCCACATTGCCAGCACCTGCCACCTGCTGCCAGTATTTGAGTGCAATAGCCTAAATCATTGCAATGGTTTCTGCATCACAAGTATTCACGGTACACAACACAGTTTAAGGCAGTCTGGGACAGTTTATTCTCAAGTGCAAACTACTCAAAAATGACCGTTGTTGAAGGGTTAGAGAAGTTATGATATCAGATTAATTGACACCAAGGTTCCTTGTGTGTGTGTATATATATATATATATATATATATATATATATATATATATATATATTAGTTCCTTATGAATAAATCAGTCAATTTGTCTCTGTTAATCAAATCAAAGTCTGAAAAATAGGATGAACATTTACTGTAAAATGTCTGCCATTATGCCATGGCTATTAAAATCTCATATTCATAAAAAGACAAGGGAGGAAAGCTAACTTTGATCAATTGGCTGTGTCAAACTATCTCAGTTATTAAATGTTTTGGACTTGTCGGGTGCCCATGTGCATCAGCTATAAGCCAACACGTTGGCGTGAAGTGGTGCAGCATGGTTGTTAAGTCACTTATAATGAAAACAGGACAAACAAGTGCCCACAGGGAACCAATTTTAGGAGGCTCTAAAACTCTCTCCAAGCGGGTGCAATGCCATTATGAAGACGATCCTTTGGTCCAATAATGTCTGGTGTAAAATACGACAATAAGAAAGTCCGAACTAAAGTGGCTTGTTCGGAGGAGAGCACCATACAATAACACTGTAACGCTCTTTTCACATGGCCATTTACAGGGCAGTGAATGATCCGGATCAGGACGATCCTGCAGCACTCTGTGCCTCTTGTGTGTATGAATCACAGACTGCTGAAATTGGGCTGTAGCTTTGGGACAGGAGGGCAAGATGCAGTGTCCTCTACTGCTGTGACAGGGACTAAGCTCCTCAGCCCTGTTCTGTCTGGAGGACTGTGGAATCTGCAGCAGAATGACAGAGGTTACATGTTTGTCTTTGCCCTAGCACTACACCGCTGATTCAAACGATTAACTCCTCATCAAGCTTTGATGATTTGAATCAGGTTTGTAGTGCTAAGGCAAAAACAGAAATGTGCACCCCTTTGGGTCCACAATACCAGGATGAAGAATCACTGCTATAGGGAATATGGTGCAATTATTGTAACCTCTGTCATTCTGCTGCTGATTCCACAGTCCTACAGACAGAAAAGGGCTAAGGAGCTCAATCACTATGGTATTTTTTATTGGTAAATGTACAAACAGATATTATGATAAATAGATTTGAAACTTGTATCTCATTATGGTAAGTGGTGATAAGTATAAGTATAGTCAGATAATTGTAATGGCTTAGCAGATAATAACAAAAGAAGAACAATATTTACATGGCTCAAAGAGAAGGAATATAATATCTATTGTTTACAGGAAACTCATTCAACAATTCTAGATGAAGTTATGTGGAAAAAGGACTGGTGGGGGGCGAAATATACTTCTCCCATGGGCAAAGAAACTCAAAAGGGGTGATGATATTAATTAACAGTAATTTCGATCCGAATGTGCAAATTGTCCAAACAGATCCGCAAGGTAGATGGATGATTTTAAATATGTTATTGGACCATAAACAACAGATATGGCTCGTTAACCTTTACGGACCAAATAATGATGATCCACACTTCTTTGACAATATATATAATACATTATCAACTCTGCAAGCAATACAAGAGTCTATTATTATAGTGGGAGATTATAATACTGTTTTAAATAGCTCAATGGACCGTAAAGGAAATCACACTACAAACTATCACCCTCATGCTCTTAAGGAAATCATTAATGTAATAGATACATTAGAACTAGTAGATATATGGAGGCTTAAATATCCTGACCTAGTGAGATATACATGGCGGAGACTCATTCAAGCTTGTCGTATTGACTTCTTTCTTATGTCATTCTCGTTGGCACCAAAAGTTTAAAAAGTGTTGATAGGGGACAGAATGCGGTCGGACCATCATATAATTGGCATATACATTACTCTTACTGAATTTCCACGTGGGCGAGGACATTGGAAAATTAATCAAAGCCTATTGGATGATAACTTGTTTTTAACTAGGACAGAGGAATTTATAACATTTTCTTCCGACATAACATAGGTACAGCAAATCCCCTTATTGTATGGGACACCTTTAAATGTGCCTTTAGAGGCCATGCAATTCAGTACTCATCTCGAAAACAAAAGCAATTTAGGTCAAAAGAGTTCATACTAACAAAGGAAATAGAAAGTCTAACAGAACCGATAGATAGCAATAAAAACTGTAACATAGAGGCTCAGAATAAATTAGAGGAAAAAAAAGAAATGGAGAAACTTATTCAAGAAAGATCAAGTGTAATATATTATAAAAATAAAGCAAACTGCAAACAGACTGGATGGAAAATGGGGAAAAATGCACCATTTTTTTTTTTTTTTTTTAAATCTTTAACATAGAAATGCTACCTAAAATAATTTACTGAAACTGGTTACAAATGACGGAGTCACCCATGATTCACCAAATTATATTTTGAAGGAGGAAGCAAAGTACTTTAAGCATATGTTTTCGTTTCAGTCGCTTCCATCTCCTCTAACTGAAGCTAATTGTAGGGATTTTTTTCTATTGATAATGTAAAATTAACAGCCATACAGAAAGACTCATGTGAAGGTGAAATTAGAGGAGGAACTTCTGGATGAAATTAAAGACTAAGTCCGGGAAAACTCCAGGGTTGGATGGCATACCAGTCGAGGTATACCAAACCTTTTTTGATATACTCAGAGGACTGTTATTAGCATGTTTTAACCACTCCTATGTAAATGGTAGATTATCCGACACTCAAGAAGGTCTGATTTCATTATTACTGAAACAGGATACAAGTGGGAAATTTAAAGATCCAGTCCATAAAAAAATTGGAGGCCCCTTACACTTCAGTGTTGTGATGCAAAAATTATAGCAAAATGTATAGCGCATAGAATTAAAAAGGTATTGTCAGACATTATTCATTCTAATCAGACAGGTTTTTTACATGGACGATATATTGGAGATAATATAAGGCAAGTACTGGAAGCAATAGAACACTATGAAAAATCAGGGAAACCAGGCCTGCTATTCATAGCAAACTTTGAAAAGGCATTTGATAAAGTACGACTGGAGTTTATATATAAATGCCTGGAGCATTTACATTTTGGAGAATCTCTTATAAAATGAGTTAAAATCATGTATAGTAACCCTAGGTGTAAAATAGTAATAATGGCTATTTCTCAGAAAGTTTTAAACTAAAGAGGAGTAAAACAAGATCGTCCACTATCGGCATATCTATTTATTATGGCCATCGAAATGTTAGCTATTAAAATCAGAACCAACAATAATATCAAGGGATTAGAAATCCAGGGTTTAAAAACAAAGGTGTCATTGTACGCTGATGATTCATGTTTTCTTTTAAATCCACAACTTGAATCCCTCCACAGCCTCATAGAGGATCTAAATACATTTTCTAACCTCTCTGGATTACAACCGAATTGTGATAAATGTACTATATTACGTATTGGAACACTAAAAAATACAATTTTTACATTACCATGTAGTTTACCAATAAAATGGTCTGATGGTGATGTGGATATACTCAAAATACATATCCCAAATGAAATAAATGATCTCACTCCAATACATTTTAATAGAAAGTTAGCAAAAATAGAAAAGATCTTGCTACCGTGGAAAGGTAAATACCTGTCTATTTGTGGCGAAATCACCCTGATTAACTCTTTAGTATTATCCCAGTTTACCTATTTGTTTATGGTCTTGCCTACGCCTAGCGTACAGTTTTTTAAATTATATGAGAAAATATAATATTCAATTTTATTTGGAACGGCAAGCCAGACGAAATTAAACGGGCCTATTTATATAATGAATTTGGAGGACAGAAATGATTAAATATTAAAGCATTAGACCTATCACATTAAAAAAAAAAAAAAAAAAACATTTTAGTCATTTAGCAGACGCTCTTATCCAGAGCGACTTACAGTTAGTGAGTGCATACTTGTTTCTTTTTTTTTTCATACTGGCCCCCCGTGGGAATCGAACCCACAACCCTGGTGTTACAAACACCATGCTCTACCAACTGAGCTACATCCCTGCCGGCCATTCCCTCCCCTACCCTGGACGACGCTGGGCCAATTGTGCGCCGCCCCATGGGTCTCCCGGTCGCGGCCGGCTACGACAGAGCCTGGATATCACTAAAAACTTCAGTCATACAAAAGTTATACTTAAATCCGAACTGGTTCTCTAGCAAATTAGAAAGATTGTCTCACCCCATGTTCAAGAAAGGCCTTTTTCCCTTTATTCAGATTACAACCTCTCACTTTCAGTTATTTGAAAAGGAAATAATCTCCCAAATATCACTATTTCTAAAACAAGCCATATAAAGTTGGTTGCAATTTCAATTGAATCCTCCAGAAACGAAAGAACAAACAATGCAACATATATTGTGGTTAAACTCCAATATACTAATTGATTTTTAAAAAAGCATTATTTTTTTATTAAAATAAAAATGGTATTATCTTCGTAAATGATATCATTGGTAGGTCTGGTGGAGTTATGTCACACATGCAGCTAACAAAAACATGTGGAAATGTCTGCTCTACCCAAAATTACATCCAAATAATTGCAGCATTACCACAAAAATGGAAGAGGAAAGTGGAAGGGGGAAAAAGTAAGGAACTTGTCTGTCGGCCCTGCATGAAACATAATTGGTTAAAGAAAATTGTGATAAATAAAAAAGTATGCCAGTTATATTTAAGGACCAAAGGATTGACAGCCGTTCCATAAATTGCAAAATAGTTGTGAAGAGATTTTTGACGTACCGATTCCATGGCATACTTTTTATGAACTGATCCGCAAAACGACGGCGGATTCAAAACTTAGAATTTTTCAATTTAAATTATTATATACAATTCTTGCTACCAATAGAATGTTATTTATATGGGGGATACAATATTCCCAGCTCTGCAGATTTTGCTGCGAAGAGACAGAATCATTAGATCATTTGTTTTGGTACTGTCCATTTGTAGCTTGTTTTTGGTCACAGGTCCAGGAATGGCTGAAGGATTACAATATTTACCTGGAGCTAACCCTGCAGATAGCACTACTGGGTGATCTGAAAAGTCATAGTCAACCAATCAATAATATAATAATACTTTTAGCAAAAAAAAATATTTTCAATTTACAATCTGTAGAAACAATGAGAATAGAAGGTTTCAGAACATTTGTGAAACATCACAGTACAGTTGAAAAATATATGGCAAATAGAAATCCAATATGGATGGTGTTAAGAGATAGATGGGAGGTGTTGAATGGAGCTGAAGGATGGTACTAATGACAACTAACAACAACTAACAACAACAACAGGATAACTAATGTAAAGCATATTGTGTCCATAATAAGTATATGGGTTATAGGTTGAGAGCTTTTGTGAGAGAGCACAGTTAGAAAGGTATGGCATATAGAACGAAACCGGATGGACATCATGAAAATGATCGGAGAGGTTGACGGTAGAGGAAGTTCAGGAGTAAAAACAAACAAAATATAATTATTGTAAAATTGACTGTGTCCATAAAATGTATATAGTATGTATAAGCTGGAAGTAGAGGCCTAAGCGTTGTTGTTCACTAGTTTACTCCAATTAGGGAAGGGGTCGTGGGGTTGGAAAGTAATGAAGGGAAATATATATTTTTTAAAGGATGTGTGTGTGTGTGTGTGTGTGTGTGTGTGTGTGTGTGTATGTATATGTATTTATGTGTGTGTGTACAGTGAGTGGAAAAAAGTATTTGATCCCCTGCTGATTTTGTACATTTGCCCACTGACAAAGACATGATCAGTCTATAATTTTAATGGTAGGTTTATTTGAACAGTGAGAGACAGAATAACAACAAAAAAATCCAGAAAAACGCATGTCAGAAATATTATAAATTGATTTGCATTTTAATGAGGGAAATAAGTATTTGACCCCTCTGCAAAACATGACTTAGTACTTGGTGGCAAAACCCTTGTTGGCAATCACAGAGGTCAGACGTTTCTTGTAGTTGGCCACCAGGTTTGCACACATCTCAGGAGGGATTTTGTTCCACTCCTCTTTGCAGATCTTCTCCAAGTCATTAAGGTTTTGAGGCTGACGTTTGGCAACTCGAACCTTCAGCTCCCTCCACAGATTTTCTATGGGATTGAGGTCTGGAGACTGCCTAGGCCACTGCAGGACCTTAATGTGCTACTTCTTGAGCCACTCCTTTGTTGCCTTGGCCGTGTGTTTTGGGTCATTGTCATGCTGGAATACCCATCCACAACCCATCCACAGCTGCCTTGAGATCATTGACAAGATCCTCCTGTGTAGTTCTGGGCTGATTCCTCACCGTTCTCATGATCATTGCAACTCCACGAGGTGAGATCTTGCATGGAGCCCCAGGCCGATGGAGAATTACAGTTAATTTGTGTTTCTTCCATTTGCGAATAATCGCACCAACTGTTGTCACCTTCTCACCAAGCTGCTTGGCGATGGTCTTGTAGCCCATTCCAGCCTTGTGTAGGTCTACAATCTTGTCCCTAACATCCTTGGAGAGCTCTTTGGTCTTGGCCATGGTGGAGAGTTTGGAATCTGATTTATTGATTGCGTCTGTGGACAGGGGTCTTTTATACAGGTAACAAACTGAGATTAGGAGCACTCCCTTTAAGAGTGTGCTCCTAATCTCAGCTCGTTACCTGTATAAAAGACACCTGGGAGCCAGAAATCTTTCTGATTGAGAGGGGGTCAAATACTTATTTCCCTCATTAAAATGCAAATCAAATTATAACATTTTAGACATGCTTTATTCTGGATTTTTTTGTTATTCTGTCTCTCACTGTTCAAATAAACCTACCATTAAAATGATAGACTGATCATTTCTTTGTCAGTGGGCAAACGTACAAAATCAGCAGGGGATCAAATACTTTTTTCCCTCACTGTATATATATAGAAATATATATATATATATATATATATATATATATATATATATATATATATATATATATATATATATATATATATACACACACACACACACACACACAGTGGGGAAAAAAAGTATTTAGTCAGCCACCAATTGTGCAAGTTCTCCCACTTAAAAAGATGAGAGGCCTGTAAGTTTCATCATAGGTACACGTAAACTATGACAGACCAAATGAGGGAAAAAAATCCAGAAAATCACATTGTAGGATTTTTTATGAATTTATTTGCAAATTATGGTGGAAAATAAGTATTTGGTCAATAACAAAAGTTTCTCAATACTTTGTTATATACCCTTTGTTGGCAATGACACAGGTCAAACGTTTTCTGTAAGTCTTCACAAGGTTTTCACACACTGTTGCTGGTATTTTGGCCCATTCCTCCATGCAGATCTCCTCTAGAGCAGTGATGTTTTCAAATCAAATCAAATTTTATTGGTCACATGCGCCGAAAACAACAGGTGCAGACATTACAGTGAAATGCTTACTTACAGCCCTTAACCAACAGTGCATTTATTTTTAACAAAAAAAAGTAAAAATAAAACTACAACAAAAAAAAGTGTTGAGAAAAAAAAGAGCAGAAGTAAAATAAAGTGACAGTAGGGAGGCTATATATACAGGGGGGTACCGTTGCAGAGTCAATGTGCGGGGGCACCGGCTAGTTGAGGTAATATGTACATGTGAGGTAATATGTACATGTGGGTAGAGTTAAAGTGACTATAAATAATTAACAGAGTAGCAGCAGCGTAAAAAGGATGGGGTGGGGGGGCAGTGCAAATAGTCCGGGTAGCCATGATTAGCTGTTCAGGAGTCTTATGGCTTGGGGGTAGAAGCTGTTGAGAAGTCTTTTGGACCTAGACTTGGCACTCCGGTACCGCTTGCCGTGCGGTAGCAGAGAAAACAGTCTATGACTAGGGTGGCTGGAGTCTTTGACAATTTTGAGGGCCTTCCTCTGACACCGCCTGGTATAGAGGTCCTGGATGGCAGGAAGCTTGGCCCCAGTGATGTACTGGGCCGTACGCACTACCCTCTGTAGTGCCTTGCGGTCGGAGGCCAAGCAGTCGCCATACCAGGCGGTGATGCAACCAGTCAGGATGCTCTCGATGGTGCAGCTGTAGAACCTTTTGAGGATCTGAGGACCCATGCCAAATCTTTTCAGTCTCCTGAGGGGGAATAGGCTTTGTCGTGCCCTCTTCACGACTGTCTTGGTGTGTTTGGACCATGATAGTTCGTTGGTGATGTGGACACCAAGGAACTTGAAGCTCTCAACCTGTTCCACTACAGCCCCGTCGATGAGAATGGGGGTGTGCTCAGTCCTCTTTTTTTTTCCTGTAGTCCACAATCATCTCCTTTGTCTTGGTCACGTTGAGGGAGAGGTTGTTGTCCTGGCACCACACGGCCAGGTCTCTGACCTCCTCCCTATAGGCTGTCTCATCGTTGTCGGTGATCAGGCCTACCACTGTTGTGTCGTCGGCAAACTTAATGATTGTGTTGGAGTCGTGCCTGGCCATGCAGTCATGGGTGAACAGGGAGTACAGGAGGGGACTGAGCACGCACCCCTGAGGGGCCCCCGTGTTGAGGATCAGTGTGGCAGATGTGTTGTTACCTACCCTTACCACCTGGGGGCGGCCCGTCAGGAAGTCCAGGATCCAGTTGCAGAGGGAGGTGTTAAGTCCCAGGATCCCTAGCTTAGTGATGAGCTTAGAGGGCACTATGGTGTTGAATGCTGAGCTGTAGTCAATGAATAGCATTCTCACGTAGGTGTTCCTCTTTTCCAGGTGGGAAAGGGCAGTGTGGAGTGCAATAGAGATTGCATCATCTGTGGATCTGTTGGGGCGGTATGCAAATTGGAGTGGGTCTAGGGTTTCTGGGATAATGCTGTTGATGTGAGCCATGACCAGCCTTTCAAAGCACTTCATGGCTACAGACGTCAGTGCTACGGGTCGGTAGTCATTTAGGCAGGTTATCTTAGTGTCCTTGGGCACGGGGACTATGGTGGTCTGCTTGAAACATGTTGGTATTACAGACTCAGTCAGGGACATGTTGAAAATGTCAGTGAAGACACTTGCCAGTTGGTCAGCACATGCTCGGAGTACACGTCCTGGTAATCCGTCTGGCCCTGCGGCCTTGTGAATGTTGACCTGCTTAAAAGTCTTACTCACATCGGCTACGGAGAGCGTGATCACATAGTCATCCGGAACAGCTGGTGCTCTCATGCATGCTTCAGTGTTGCTTGCCTCGAAGCGAGCATAGAAGTGGTTTAGCTCGTCTGGTAGGCTTGTGTCACTGGGCAGCTCGCGGCTGTGCTTCCCTTTGTAGTCTGTAATAGTTTTCAAGCCCTGCCACATCCGACGAGCGTCAGAGCCAGTGTAGTACGATTCAATCTTAGTCCTGTATTGACTCTTTGCCTGTTTGATGGTTCGTCGGAGGTCATAGCGGGATTTCTTATAAGCGTCCGGGTTAGAGTCCCGTTCCTTGGAAGCGGCAGCTCTACCCTTTAGCTCAGCAACACGGACTTTCAACTCCCTCCAAAGATGTTCTATGGGGTTGAGATCTGGAGACTGGCTAGGCCACTCCAGGACCTTGAAATGCTTCTTACGAAGCCACTCCTTCGTTGCCCGGGCGGTGTGTTTGGGATCATTGTCATGCTGAAAGACCCAGCCACGTTTCATCTTCAATGCCCTTGCTGATGGAAGGAGGTTTTCACTCAATCTCACGATACATGGCCCCATTCATTCTTTCCTTTACACGGATCAGTCGTCCTGGTCCCTTTGCAGAAAAACAGCCCCAAAGCATGATGTTTCCACCCCCATGCTTCACAGTAGGTATGGTGTTCTTTGGATGCAACTCAGCATTCTTTGTCCTCCAAACACGACGAGTTGATTTTTTTAACCAAAAAGTTATATTTTGGTTTCATCTGACCATATGACATTCTCCCAATCCTCTTCTGGATCATCCAAATGCACTCTAACAAACTTCAGACGGGCCTGGACATGTACTGGCTTAAGCAGGGGGACACGTCTGGCACTGCAGGATTTGAGTCCCTGGCGGCGTAGTGTGTTACTGATGGTAGGCTTTGTTACTTTGGTCCCAGCTCTCTGCAGGTCATTCACTAGGTCCCCCTGTGTGTTTCTGGGATTTTTGCTCACTGTTCTTGTGATCATTTTGACCCCACGGGGTGAGATCTTGCGTGGAGCCCCAGATCGAGGGAGATTATCAGTGGGCTTGTATGTCTTCCATTTCCTGCTTACCTATTGCAGATTCAGTCTTCCCAGCCTGGTGCAGGTCTACAATTTTGTTTCTGGTGTCCTTTGACAGCTCTTTGGTCTTGGCCATAGTGGAGTTTGGAGTGTGACTGTTTGAGGTTGTGGACAGGTGTCTTTTATACTGATAACAAGTTCAAACAGGTGCCATTAATACAGGTAACGAGTGGAGGACAGAGGAGCCTCTTAAGAAGTTACAGGTCTGTGAGAGCCAGAAATCTTGCTTGTTTGTACGTGACCAAATACTTATTTTCCACCATAATTTGCAAATAAATTCATTAAAAATCCTACAATATGATTTTCTGGATTTTTTTTTCTCAATTTGTCTGTCATAGTTGACGTGTACCTATGGTGAAAATTACAGGTCTCTCATCTTTTTAAGTGGGAGAACTTGCACAATTGGTGGCTGACTAAATACTTTTTTCCCCACTGTATACACACACACACACAAATACATACATATACATATATATATATATATATATACACACACATATATATCCTGCGAGAAGAAAAAAAACATTTGGGGGATTGGAAGTGATGCAGACAATTACATTGGAAGTTACAATCTATCTGCAATATTAAAGCTTATTTTTTTTATATATTTTTTTTATAATTAAACACTGCTATAGGGAATACAGTGCCATTTGGGATGAAGCTTCTGTCATTCTGTTGCTGATTCCCCAGGACCAGGATTAAGAACAACTGCCCGATAGAATGCACTACTTTTGACCCGGGTCCAGAGGCTGCCATTTGGGATTCAGACATCCTTGATTGTGTTTGTAAAGAAAAACAGTTCTATTCACCTCATGACTGACTAATACTGTCGGTGAATTGTCATTAGCCAGGTAATTTTTACACTCGGCTGCCTGTATCAAACAGTCAAACTTTGGGTCATTTCCATGCAAATGAAGGCTGCTTACTGCTCAGAAGGCTGATCCCTCACACAGCTTGACTGACTGAGGAAGTATAATGGCTTAGTCACGGCTTATAGTTTTGTTGCTGCACCGTTACGATGTAAACGTCTTCCTTGATGTCACTGGGCACAGATGGAGGGTGCCTGATAGTGCTGACCCAGGCTGTTATGGGCCATTCTAGTGGCCACATAGCAACGATGTCAGGGTAGGCTGTAGGCCATTTCAGCAGGAGGAGTATCTCTGCTGCGGAGTATTCTTTTTTTGGAGATGGAGCCATCTGAGATATTTAAATTATTTCCAGCTCCATCCTGTGATTAGCGTAATAGGGGGCTGTCTCCTCTGTTTCGGGATGATGCTACTGGAGCTTGTTGATGTCATTTGCAGTTGTGGAAATAGCAGGATCCATCAGTGATGAGACTCTTTATTTTTACCTCTCATTTAATTCAAGTTGATTAATTTCAATTAAAAACCCCAGAAATTACACCAGATCCCATCCTATTGCTGGCTCGAGCTGTGTTAGTTCGTTCGGCTGATTTAACTAAATGTGGGTGCAAATATGTTTTCCTATTTCACACATGTGCAAGTATGTTAATGTATTTATGTTATGAATTGGTGGTTTTGTTTATAACAACTAACAAAAGCAGGAATGGTTATCAGCATCCTCAAGGAGGAAATCCTTAATTGAAAAATATGTTGTATTTTTATTCCTGTTCTAAACTGTGCTTCTTTAGCCCTCCTGGGAATCTGCCTGCAATTTTCTATTAGGCCTAAATCTTGACATCAAATGCACGCTTCCTTCCCTAGCCATGTGAAAAGAGAGAAACTGTTACCATCAAGATGATGATGAAATACGCTATAGAGGCCTCTCTCAATAGCTGACATACTGTGAAATAATTTGGGCTGGGTATTTCATCTGGAGACGTGAAATAGGTAGGCGATATCGTTTACACCGACTGCAGCCCTCAACCTTGGTGATGGTGGTGATGCCACAGAAGACAGAACTAGATTGAGATTCTATTTCTATGGGTAATGCTGGGGCTCTTATGTCTGAATCTATTCCTGGCCCTGTCTGTCTGTAATGGCTTCACAGCTGTCTAGGGGCCAGTCTACTCTAGTCATGAAGGTGAAGCGCCTAGATGAAATGTAATATCTTGACTCCCCAGAGGCACCAGTCAAATGTCACTCTCAAAAGGCTTAAAGACTATAAGGTGATATTATTTCATGACATTATTTTATTTCAACTGAGAATAGCACAAAGTTTAGTTTTCTGTCTGGTCACATACTAGTCTCACTTATTATCATGGCTCCCTTTTCTCTCAGGGTGCTAAGTTATGACCTGTCTCATGTGAAGGCCTACAATTTGTCCAGCTTATTCTCTTGCCAATATCGAAAAACCTTCATGTATCATAGTGTTTACAGTAGCCCATTGTATAGCATAAGCCTGCATACTGTGCAGAGTTGATATTATAGTACCACCGTTCTCGTACGCTGTTCAAAACAAATTGCCAGTAGCCTAGCTATACACTAAGTATATTCCGTGACATAGACAGAGCAGGTGAATCCAGGTGAAAGCTATGATCCCTTATTGATGTCACCTGTTAAGTCCACTTCAATCAAGGTAGATGAAGGGGAGGAGACAGGTTAAAGAAGGATTTTTAAGCCTTGAGACAATTGAGACATGGATTGTGTATGTGTGCCATTCAGAGGGTGAATGGGCAAGACAAAATACACTGCTCAAAAAAATAAAGGGAACACTAAAATAACACATCCTAGATCTGAATGAATGAAATAATCTTATTAAATACTTTTTTCTTTACATAGTTGAATGTGCTGACAACAAAATCACACAAAAATTATCAATGGAAATTAAATGTATCAACCCATGGAGGTCTGGATTTGGAGTCACCCTCAAAATTAAAGTGGAAAACCACACTACAGGCTGATCCAACAATTGATGTAATGTCCTTAAAACAAGTCAAAATGAGGCTCAATAGTGTGTGTGGCCTCCACGTGCCTGTATGACCTCCCTACAACGCCTGGGCATGCTCCTGATGAGGTGGCGGATGGTCTCCTGAGGGATCTCCTCCCAGACCTGGACTAAAGCATCCGCCAACTCCTGGACAGTCTGTGGTGCAACGTGGCGTTGGTGGATGGAGCGAGACATGATGTGCTCAATTGAATTCAGGTCTGGGGAATGGGCGGGCCAGTCCATAGCATCAATGCCTTCCTCTTGCAGGAACTGCTGACACACTCCAGCCACATGAGGTCTAGCATTGTCTTGCATTAGGAGGAACCCAGGGCCAACCGCACCAGCATATGGTCTCACAAGGGGTCTGAGGATCTCATCTCGGTACCTAATGGCAGTCAGGCTACCTCTGGCGAGCACATGGCCCCCCAAAGAAATGCCACCCCACACCATGCTGACCCACCGCCAAACCGGTCATGCTGGAGGATGTTGCAGGCAGCAGAATGTTCTCCACGGCGTCTCCAGACTCTGTCACGTCTGTCACGTGCTCAGTGTGAACCTGCTTTCATCTGTGAAGAGCACAGGGCGCCAGTGGCGAATTTGCCAATCTTGGTGTTCTCTGGCAAATGCCAAACGTCCTGCACGGTGTTGGGCTGTAAGCACAACCCCCACCTGTGGACGTCGGGCCCTCATACCACCCTCATGGAGTCTGTTTCTGACCGTTTGAGCAGACACATGCACATTTGTGGCCTGCTGGAGGTCATTTCGCAGGGCTCTGGCAGTGCTCCTCCTGCTCCTCCTTGCACAAAGGCGGAGGTAGCAGTCCTGCTGCTGGGTTGTTGCCCTCCTACGGCCTCCTCCACGTCTCCTGATGTACTGGCCTGTCTCCTGGTAGCGCCTCCATGCTCTGGACACTACGCTGACAGACACAGCAAACCTTCTTGCCACAGCTCGCATTGATGTGCCATCCTGGATGAGCTGCACTACCTGAGCCACTTGTGTGGGTTGTAGACTCCGTCTCATGCTACCACTAGAGTGAAAGCACCGCCAGCATTCAAAAGTGACCAAAACATCAGCCAGGAAGCATAGGAACTGAGAAGTGGTCTGTGGTTACCACCTGCAAAACCAGTCCTTTATTGGGGGTGTCTTGCTAATTGCCTATAATTTCCACCTGTTGTCTATTCCATTTGCACAACAGCATGTGAAATGTATTGTCAATCAGTGTTGCTTCCTAAGTGGACAGTTTGATTTCACAGAAGTGTGATTGACTTGGAGTTACATTGTGTTGTTTAAGTGTTCCCTTTATTTTTTTAAGCAGTGTATTTAAGTGCCTTTGAACAGGATATGGTAGTAGGTGCCAGGCGCACCGATTTTGAGTGTCAAGAACTGCAACGCTGCTGAGTTTTTACGCTCAACAGTTTCCCGTGTGTATCAAGAATGGTCCACCCGACCACACAAAGGACATCCAGCCAACTTGACACAACTGTGGGAAGCATTGGAGTCAACATGGGCCAGCATCCCTGTGGAACGCTTTCAAGACCTTGTAGTCCATGCCCCGACGAATTGAGTCTGTTCTGAGGGCGAAGTGTGGTGCAACTCAATATTAGGAAAGTGTTCCTAATGTATTGTTCACTCCGTTTATACCTTGTGTGCTCACTGATAATTGATCAGCATTTTTTTAATTTAATTTTTTACTTTTTTTTATTAGTTTTCAAGAATAGATTTACAGTACAGCAATTCATCATAAAGGTAGTGGGAACATCATTAACTGCATTATCATTATTGTTGTCCAGCTCCCCTACCATTTGAGTCAGTATGTGTGATGTCCGACAGCAGCAGGGTCTGGGTCGCTGCATGTCCAGCCCCCATACCCTTTCCCAACCACCGCGGAGTGAGTGTCTGTGCTATGTGCAGTCAACTAGTATCATTAGTGTTTGTGAAGCAAATATGATGGTTATTATTAAGGTTCTGGTCTTCTGAGATACAAACAAGTATACCACAAACCAAAAAAATATACAATTAAACAACTAAAGGAAATAAAATAATTAGAAAAAAGTAATGCAAGAATAGATCATCCGATCATATGTTTGGTTGCTTCGAGACGAATGAGTCTTATGTCGACACAATATTATGTACAAGGAGCGGTTCCTATCTTTTTTCACATCTGTTTGCTGTTTGTTTTATTTTATGGGTGATAATTTCCATTAAATAAATGTATTTCACTCTGTCCACTCAGCCATAGTAGGAATGTCCTTATTTAACCAATGTGCTATAATACATTTCTTTGCTGCAGACGAGTATATTTAATAGGTAGTAATTTAGAAACTGTTCAGGGATTGCTCCCAAGGATGGCACTCATTTGGTTCTTTGCCAGGGAACCTTTTAAATACATTGTTTACAGAGTCAAAAACATCATTCCAGTATTTTATTATTCTAGGACAACACCAAAAAATATGTAGGTAGTTTGTGGACAATTCCCCAAATTTTCTCCAGCATTCACTGGTTGTTTCTGGTCTTATCTTCACCATTTTGTCTGGAGTTAGAAAGTACAATTTCCATATTTTTGAAGGTGTAATGGTAGGAACATTCCTTCAGATCGCCTCCGAAGTTACATTTTCAATGTTCTCCCCAAGTTCAGATTCCCATTTGCACTTTGTTTGCAGAGTATTGCTCTGTGTCATGACAGCAATATATTGGTATAGTTTTGTTATTTCTTTACTACCAGTTGCCCTTTTCTGAGTATTGGTTATGTGTTTTTCTATGGGTGAGGGCACACACTTAATTTCTACCTAGTTGGGGTGTTTCCATAAGTAGTCTCTTAGCTGTACATGGCTAAATAAATCTGACTTTGGCAAATGTAAGAACTAATTTAATCTAATGATTTAACTTGGTTGTTCTTCAAGACTTGGTGTACATATTGCAAATGAAGTGAAGTACTTTCCTCCAAATCTGGAGCATATTCTTGGACCATAGGTTCTTCTTACTATCACTGTCTGTCCTCTTTCCCAGAAAAGGTCTTACTGCTAGTGGGTATCGACCACAGTAGATTAATTTTTCTATTTCGAGCCATCTAGATTCATATAAATATTTTATCCAAGTAATCATTGGTTGCAATTGGGTGGTACCACCTCAAGTTTGGTAATCCAAGGCCACCTGATTCCTTTGGCAGTTGGAGTGTTTTGTACCTCAACCTCGTTAATTTATTTTACCTTGCTATAGAAACCTTGAAATTAGACGGTCTAATTGGTAAAGTATGGAATCTGGGACAAGAACCGGTATTGTCTGAAATTGGAATAGCAGTCTGGGGAGAACATTAATCTTAATTGTTTCCACTTTTCCTCATGAAGTCAGAGGTAAAATCGCACATCTTCTAAGATCTGTGGTTATCACATCAATTAATTTGGTATAGTGAATTTTATACAAGTCCTCAAGAGAGGTAGGACTAGTAATACCTAGGTATTTTATTCCTTTGTCAGGCCACCTGAAAATGGACAGGGTACCTGATAGGGGGTGAGCCGATTCATAGCGTAGGCTTCAGTCTTACTTACATTCAGTTTATATACTGCGTTAATCCCATATGTTTTTATACATTTCATCAAGCATGCACAGAATTACGTACATCAGACATATACAATAATCCATCGTCAGCATACAGAGAAATCTTATGCTCTTCCTCGCCAATTCCTTTACTATTCGGGCTGGATCTTATCATCTGGACAAAAGGTTCAATACTAAGGGTAAAAAGGAAAGCGCTCAGTGGGCAACCTAGCCGAACCTCTTTATTTATTTGGTTTTTTTTAATTTAGCAGACGCTCCTATCCAGATCGACTTACAGTAGAGTGCATACATTTTCATACTTTTGTTTTGTGCTGGTCCCCCGTGGGAATTGAACCCACAACCCTGGCGTTGCAAGCGCCATGTTCTACCAACTGAGCCACATGGGACTCTTTTAATGATAAAAGGTACAGATAAATGTCCATTTACTCTGACTCTAGCGTGGGGGGTCGAATAACGGATTTGGACCAATGTAATACAACTTGGGGCCAAATTCATGCAGCATTTCAAACCGATAAGGCCATGATACCCGATCAAAGGCCTTCTGTGCATCCAGGGCCAGTGCCATATTTTCCCCACCCGTAGTCTGGGCAGATGATATAACATTTAGGCCTCTTCTCCTGTTATCCGACAGTTGACGGCCAGCATTGATCGGACATAAAAGACAAATGTACAGACAAATGACAGGCGGATGTAGCGAACAAACGGGTCCATTTGACAATATCAGTGCTTTGTTGTCATGTCTAATTTAGCCCATTCCTCATCTTCCTGCCATCATTCCCACAGCCTCCCACCCTGATCTTACACACTGTAATATAGAGCTAGCTAGCAGTGATGATGCAACTGGCTGTGTTGAACCCTGCAATCTTGTTTATTCTCTGAACTAACCTTATGCTACCCGTCCATGTCTTTCAAAACATCTCATTCATAACCCCACCTCCATCCATAACCCCACCCCCCGTCTAAGGCCAAGGCAAACAAACTGTAGTCTGACTCAAACTGTTACATGTAGCCGACTGACACAAGTAAATCCACCCAACGCACAGGCATTTAGGTCTTTATAACCCCATCATTCAGCACAGTGGTCAGGGTGAGTGAAAGAGTATGGGTGACGGTGTTGCTGTGTCCTGTGTTAACGTGTGTCTTTCTGGCCCCCATCAGTTCAGGACAGGTGTCTACAACCCGTGTGGTTCAGCACAGTGGTCAGGTTGAGTGTTAGTGTTACAGTATGGGGGGTGGTGATGAGTGTTAGTGTGTCCTGTGTCCCTCTGGCCCCCATCAGTTTAGATGTTTATTATGGATCAGGTTACTGTATCCTGTGTTAACGTGTCCTTCTGCCTCCCATAAGTATAGGTCTTAATAACCCTATGTTGAGTGTAGGGCTGACCCTAATTACTCGACTGGTGGATTGTTTAGTCGATATTTTTAGTCTTGCATTATTTGCGCCCATCTCAGTGAACTAATCCATTGCGGAGGCCTAGACTAAAAGCCAATTAATGCTTAACCCTAACCCGTATGGAGGGTGTGACGCAATTGCGGCGCCTCCGGAGGCATGCAGAGGCCAAGTCGAGTGCCGTACCGCATCGCCATGCGCCTCCCAAATGTTGTAACAATGCGGAGGGCTCTGTATAGCACCGCATTGACATGATTTGGTTGACGGTAGGTGGGGGGCAGTACATCCTGTATAAACACAGACTCACTTCCTTGACAACTTCCTTCACAACAGCTCTGCACTTCTCCGGGAAGCGCAAGAAGTATGAATGCCCTGTTTCCTGCTGAGGCCGTATCACCGTAAATGCTGCATGGCCAATGCAGACATCGGATTGACCATGCAGTGCCCAGATGCACAATGCTCTCCAGGAATGCGCTCAATTCCCCATTACATACACTACCAGTGAAACGTTTGGACACAATGAATGAGAATGAGTTGCCAATTCCTTATGTAAATGAGTATTTTTATGCTCATTGCACATTTATAAAGAAACTGACTAGACAGCTAGCACATACACTACCGGTCAAAAGTGTTAGAACACCTACTCATTCAAGGGTTTTTCTTTATTTGTACTATTTTCTACATTGTAGAATAATAGTGAAGACATCAACACTATGAAATAACACATGGGCTATTTGAAAAAGCTCCTGCCCAAGTCAAGCAATGCTTCTTATCCCTTGCGCAAATAGCCTACAGCTGTGTCTGTCCCAAGCTCACTGGCATGGGAAACTCTGTGGGCCCAGAATATTTTATGCAATGTTGCAAGTTCGATAGTGCAAGCTTCTGGCTAGACCCAAGTTAATAGTTGATACAATGTTTCAAGTTCGTTGCAGACAGGCCATGCATAGCCAATGTGATTTGTAGGATATTTTTTTATATCCAGATATTTTCTACCTGCAGGCTGCAATGTTTTTATTTGTTGGCTTTATATACAGTTGTGGTCAAAAGTTTTGAGAATGACACAAGTATTGGTCTTCACAAAGTTTGCTGCTTCAGTGTTATGAGATATTTTTGTCAGATGTTACTATGGGATACTGAAGTATAATTACAAGCATTCCATAAGTGTCAAAGCCTTTTATTGACAATTACATTAAGTTTATGCAAAGAGTCAATATTTGCAGTGTTGACCCTTATTTTTCAAGACCTCTGCAATCTGCCCTGGCATGCTGTCAATTAACTTCTGGGCCACATCCTGACTGATGGCAGCCCATTCTTGCATAATCAATGCTTGGAGTTTGTCAGAATTTGTGGGTTTTTGTTTGTCCACACGCCTCTTGAGGATCAACCACAAGTTCTCAATGGGATTAAGGTCTGGGAGTTTCCTGGCCATGGACCCAAAATGTTGATGTTTTGTTCCCCGAGCCACTTAGTTATCACTTTTGCCTTATGGCAAGTTCATCATGCTGGAAAAGGCATTGGTTGTCACCAAACTGTTCTTGGATGGTTGGGAGAAGTTGCTCTCGGAGGATGTGTTGGTACCATTCTTTATTCATGGCTGTGTTCTTAGGCAAAATTGTGAGTGAGCCCACTCCCTTGGCTGAGAAGCAACCCCACACATGAATGGTCTCAGGATGCTTTACTGTTGGCATGACACAGGACTGATGGTAGCGCTCACCTTGTCTTCTCCGGACAAGGTGTTTTTCGGATGCCTCAAACAATCGGAAAGGGGATTCATCAGAGAAAATGACTTTACCCCAGTCCTAATCAGTCAAATCCCTGTACCTTTTGCAGAATATCAGTCTGTCCCTGATGTTTTTCCTGGAGAGAAGTGGCTTCATTGCTGCCCTTCTTGACACCAGGCCATCCTCCAAAACTCTTCGCCTCACTGTGCGTGCAGAGGCACTCACCTGCCTGCTGCCATTCCTGAGCAAGCTCTGCACTGGTGGTGCCCCGATCCCGCAGCTGAATCAACTTTAGGAGACAGTCCTGGCGCTTACTGGACAGTCCTGGCGCTTGCAAAACAATTGAACCTCTCTCCTTGAAGTTCTTGATGATCCGATAAATGGTTGATTTAGGTGCAATCTTGCTAGCAGCAATATCCTTACCTGTGAAGCCCTTTTTGTGCAAAGCAATGATGACTACACGTGTTTCCTTGCAGGTAACCATGGTTAACAGGGGAAGAACAATGATTTCAAGCACCACCCTCCTTTTAAAGCTTTCAGTCTGTTATTCTAACTCAATCAGCATGACAGAGTGATCTCCAGCCTTGTTCTCATCAACACTCTCACCTGTGTTAACGAGAGAATCACTGACATGTGTCAGAACGCTGAGTGTGGATGTGGTGCAGGGAATCAAGCGCAGGAACAAGGGTGTTCGTCAACAGACTTTAGTAATCCAAAATAGTAACTCCAAACAGGTGAATAGCCAACCCAACCGGGAGGCATGAACAAATTACACACACACACAACAGTGCGTAAAAACAAGAAAAGGCGCACGCAGTGCGGACTCTCGACACAATCAACACGAGAGAGAACCCATCAACAGCAACAGCTGACATAACAATCACACATAACACCTGACCCAACACACGATAACTAAATAGGAAACAAAATCAAACACTAACAAGGGACAGGTGTACAAACAGACAAAACCAAACAAACATGAAACATCGAACGGTGGCAGCTAGTACTCCGGGGACGACGACCGCCGAAGCCTGCCCGAACAAGGAGGAGGAGCAGCCTCGGCCGAAACCGTGACAGTACCCCCCCCTTGACGCGCGGCCCCAGCCGTGCGCCGATCCCGGCCTCGGGGACGACCAGGACGACGCGGAGCAGGGCGCGTAGGATGACCCCGATGGAACTCGGTCAGCAGGGACAGGTCTAATATGTCCCTCCTCGGCACCCAGCACCGCTCCTCCGGGCCGTACCCCTCCCATCCACGAGATATTGGACACCCCCCATCCGGCGTCTCGAATCAAGGATGGACCTCACAGTGTACGCCGGAGCCCCCTCGATGTCCAACGGGGGCGGAGGAGTCTCCTCTATCTCATAGTCCTGGAGTGGACCAGCTACCACCGGCCTGAGGAGAGACACATGGAACGAGGGGTTAATATTCCTGTAATCAATAGGCAGTTCTAACCTGTAACACACCTCGTTCAACCTCCTCAGGACTTTGAATGGCCCCACAAACCGCCGACCCAGCTTCCGGCAGGGCAGGCGGAGGGGCAGGTTTCTGGTCGAGAGCCAGACTCGATCTCCAGGTGCGTATACAGGCCCCTCACTGCGGTGGAGATCGGCGCTCGTCTTATGCCGACGGATGGCCCGCTGCAGATGGACGTGGGCAGCGTTCCATGTCTCCTCCGAGCGCCGCACCCACTCATCCACCGCAGGGGCCTCGATCTGGCTCTCGTGCCAAGGTGCCAGAACCGGCTGGTACCCTAACACACACTGGAAAGGGGTTAGTTGGGTGGAGGAGTGGCGGAGAGAGTTCTGCGCCATCTCGGCCCACGGAACGTATCTCGCCCACTCCTCCGGCCGGCCCTGGCAATAAGACCTCAGAAACCTACCCACATCCTGGTTGACACGTTCAACCTGCCCATTACTCTCCGGGTGGTAACCCGAGGTAAGGCTCACCGAAACCCCCAACCGTTCCATAAAGGCTCTCCACACTCTGGAGGTGAACTGGGGGCCTCGATCAGACACTATATCCTCGGGTACCCCGTAATGCCGGAAGACATGGGTAAACAGAGCCTCAGCGGTCTGTAGGGCAGTAGGGAGACCCGGCATGGGAAGGAGACGACAGGCCTTCGAGAACCGATCCACAACGACCAGGATGGTAGTATTCCCCTGTGAGGGGGGAAGATCTGTAAAAAAGTCCACCGAGAGGTGGGACCAGGGTCGTTGTGGAACGGGCAGGGGTTGTAGCTTACCCCTGGGCAAATGTCTGGGCGCCTTACACTGTGCACACACCGAACAGGAGGAGACCTAAACCCTCACATCCCTGGCTAACGTTGGCCACCAGTACTTAGTGCTAAGGCAGTGAACTGTCCGGCCGATACCTGGATGTCCAGAGGAGGGGGACGTATGAGCCCAATAAATGAGGCGATCGCGTACATCGAGCGGAACGTACGTCCGACCCACTGGACACTGTGGAGGACTTGGGTCGGTGCGTAACGCCCGCTCGATCTCCGCATCGACCTCCCATACCACCGGTGCCACCAGACAAGACTTTGGTAGTATGGGAGTGGGCTCAACGGACCTCTCCTCCGTGTCATACCGCCGAGACAGGGCATCTGCCTTCCGGTTCTGGGACCCAGGGATGTAAGTGATTTTAAACACAAACCGGGCTAGAAACATAGTCCAGCGGGCCTGGCGAGGATTCAGTCTCCTAGCTGCCCGGATGTACTCCAGGTTACGGTGGTCCGTCAAAATGAGGAAAGGGTGTTGAGCCCCCTCAAGCCAATGCCTCCACACCTTTAGGGCCTGTACCACGGCTAACAGCTCCCTGTCCCCTACGTCATAATTCCGCTCCGCCGGACTGAGCTTCTTAGAATAAAAGGCACAGGGGCGGAGCTTAGGTGGTGTGCCAGACCGTTGTGAGAGGACGGCCCCAATACCGGCCTCGGACGCGTCTACCTCTACCTGGAATGGTAAAGCGGGATCCGGATGCGCCAACACCGGCGCCGAGGTAAACAGGTCCTTCAGTCTCCCAAAAGCCCTGTCCGCCTCAGCAGACCACCGCAAGCGCACCGGACCCCCCTTCAACAGAGACGTTATGGGAGCTGCCACCTGTCCAAAACCCCGGATAAACCTCCGGTAATAATTCGCAAAACCCAAGAACTGTTGCACCTCTTTCACAGTGGTTGGGGTTTGCCAATTACGCACAGCTGACACCCGGTCAACCTCCATCCTCACCCCTGACGCAGACAACTGATAACCCAAAAAGGAGACCGACTTCTGAAAGAACAGACATTTCTCTGCCTTGACATATAGGTCATGCTCCAACAGTCTCCTCAACACTCGGCGCACCAGGGCTACATGCTCAGCTCGGGTAGAACTGTACACCAGAATATCGTCTATGTACACGACTACTCCCTGCCCCTGCATGTCCCGGAAAATCTCATCTACAAAGGATTGGAAGACTGAGGGAGCATTCATTAACCCATATTGCATGACGAGATACTCGTAATGACCGGAGGTCGTGCTAAATGCTGTCTTCCATTCATCGCCCTCTCTAATGCGCACCAAGCTATATGCGCTCCTGAGATCCAATTTTGTGAAGAACTGAGCACCGTGTAATGACTCCGTCATAGTCGCAATCAGAGGAAGTGGATAACTGTACTTCACCGTAATCTGATTGAGACCGCGGTAATCAATAAACGGGCGCAAACCTCCATCTTTTTTCTTCACAAAAAAGAAGCTAGAGGAAGCGGGTGAAGTGGAGGCCCGTATGTATCCCTGTCTCAGAGACTTGGCGATGTAAGTTTCCATCGCCTTCCTCTCCTCTTGAGACAAGGGATACACATGGCTCCGCGGGAGGGCTGCTCCTGACTGGAGATCTATCGCACAATCCCCCTGTCTATGAGGCGGCAGCTGCGCCGCCCTAGTCTTACTAAACACCAGTTTCAAATCCTCATACTCGGGGGGAATATGCAGTGCTGGCATTAGATTCGGACTTTCCACCGAGGTCGCCCCTATGGAAACACCCAGACACAGCCCCTCACACTGAGCAGACCACCCTTTAAGAGCTTTCTCTCGCCACGAAATAGTAGGGTCATGGGTAATCAACCAGGGAAGCCCCAGCACCACCGGATACGCAGGAGAGTCAATCAGATAGAGCTGAATCGTCTCCTCATGACCCCCCTGCGTCACCATCTTAAGGGGCGCTGTGACCTCCCTAATCAACCCAGATCCTAACGGACTGCTATCTAGGGCATGTACAGGGAAAGGCTTATCAACGGGAAGGAGAGGAATCCCTAACTCTACACAGAACTGGCGATCTACAAAATTCCCGGCTGCGCCTGAATCTACTAGCGCCTTATGCTGGGAACGAGGTGCAACCTGTGGAAAACAAACAGGCAAGGTTATGTGAACGACAGAAAGCTCTGGGTAAGTAGGGCGCCTACTCACCTGGGAGGACTCCCCAATGCGTGGCCTGCCTTCACCTCCACCGGGGGACCTTCCCCAACACCTAGCCGCGGTGTGCCCTCCACGGCCACAGTTGGTGCAGGGAACGGCCCCCCTCGGGTTCCTACTCCTCCGTTCTCTAGCGCCAGCACCTCCGAGCTCCATAGGGCTCGGCTCGGAGGTGCCGGAAGGTGGAATGGGCAACCCCCACCCGGGACGTCCACGGGTGGCGAGCAGGGTGTCCAGACGAATGGCCATGTCGACCAGTTGGTCAAACGACAACGTGGTATCCCTGCACGCCAACTCTCTCTGGACGTCCTCCCGGAGGCTGCAGCGGAAGTGGTCTATGAGGGCCCGCTCATTCCACCCTGCATCTGCCGCTAGAGTCCGGAACTCCAAAGCAAAATCCTGTGCGCTCCTCATCCCCTGTCGGAGGTAGAACAGACGCTCCCCCGCCGCCTTCCCTTCTGGTGGATGGTCAAACACGGCACGGAAGCGGCGGGAGAACTCCGCATAGGTAATAGTAGCGGTGTCTATTCTCCTCCATTCGGCGTTGGCCCACTCCAACGCCTTGCCGGTGAGACAGGAGATGAGGGCGGAGACGCTCTCGTGTCCCGAGGGCGCCGGGTGTACGGTGGCGAGGTAGAGCTCCACTTGCAGCAGGAACCCTTGACACCCGGCAGCGGAGCCGTCGTACGCCCTCGGGAGCGAGAGCCGAATCCCGCTGGGTTCCGGAAGGGGGACAGGAGGACTGACCGATGGGGATGGTCCGGTAGGTGGGGGCGTGGGTACCCCGCTGCTTTCCCATCGGTGGAGAGTGTTCATCACCCGATCCAGGGCGTGACCGATCTGGTTGATCCTGTCCTACTGCCCATGAAGACGGTCCTCCATAATGTCCGTTGGCGCGGTTGCTCCTGCTGATTCCATGGGTTGATGTGTGATTCTGTCAGAACGCTGAGTGTGGATGTGGTACAGGGAATCAAGCGCAGGAACAAGGGTGTTCGTCAACAGACTTTAGTAATCCAAAATAATAACTCCAAACAGGTGAATAGCCAACCCAACCGGGAGGCATGAACAAATTACGCACACACACAACAGTGCGTAAAAACAAGAAAAGGCGCACGCAGTGCGGACTCTCGACACAATCAACACGAGAGAGAAAACCCATCAACAGCAACAGCTGACATAACAATCACACATAACACCTGACCCAACACACGATAACTAAATAGGAAACAAAATCAAACACTAACAAGGGACAGGTGTACAAACAGACAAAACCAAACAAACATGAAACATCGAACGGTGGCAGCTAGTACTCCGGGGACGACGACCGCCGAAGCCTGCCCGAACAAGGAGGAGGAGCAGCTTCGGCCGAAACCGTGACAACATGATGGCAGCTGGTCCTTTTGTGGCAGGGCTAAAATGTAGTGGAAATTAGAGGGACTTTGCAATTAATTGCAATTCATCTGATCACTCTTCATGACATTCTGGAGTATGTGCAAATTGCCATCATCAAAACTGAGGCAGCAGACTTTGTGAAAATTAGTATTTGTGTCATTCTCAAAACTTTTGACCACGGCTGTAGGCTGTTTTTACATTGTTGGCAATAGAAGTTACTTTTTAGGTTTGTATCATTTTCATTTAGATTTGGATAGAATTTTGATTAACCACATGACAATGATTTTGAGATATGAAGACGTTATTATAAATGAAATGAAACTGTTCTGGCCTCCCGAGTGGCGCAGCTGTCTAAGGCGTCACTACAGACCCGGGTTCGATCCCGGACTATGTCAGAACCGGCTGTGACTGGGAGTCCCATAGGGCGGCGCACAATTGGCCCAGTGTCGTCCGGGTTTGTCCGGGGGGGCTTTACTTGGCGCATCTCGCTGCAGGCTGACTTCGGTCGTCAGTTGAACAGTGTTTCCTCCGACACATTGGTGCAGCTGGCTTCCGGGTTAAGCGGGCGGGTGTTAAGAAGCGCGGTTTGGCGCATGATTCGACCTTCGCCTCTCCCGAGCCCGTTGGGGAGTTGCAGCGAAGAGACAAGATCGCAATTGGATATCACAAAAAAATCAAAAATAATACCTGTTCCACGAAAATGTACGTATGAAAACCATAACTGGCACACAGATTGGTATAAATGGTAAGATATATTGGCATTCCACATGAGAAAGGTTGCAGACTCCTCATGTAGCCTATTACCGGCAACTTCAGGAGAGTAATGGCAGAATCTGCAAAAGCCAGCAGGAACGGGAGGAGAATGGTTTGGTCAGGTTTTTTTCTTCCTCTAGATCTTTGGCTCCCTCTTTAGTCATTTGTCTTATTTCATCAAACAGTAAGCTTAAAGCATCAGACAAGCTCAATGCATATAGTTGATTTTATTAAAACACAAAGGGTGTGTCTATATATAGAAAAATACACGTTTAAACATTTCTACCAATCGATTGGTCGAAAGAACAGACAACTTTTTTTTTTGTCGGGGACAGCCATATTTGAATGAAAGAATATGGGGGTTGGTGGTGTGAGTGATACTGTGCCCTGTGTTGACGTGTTTCCCTCTGGTCTGCATCAGTTCCAGGGTCAGGAGAGGCTGACGGAGTGTTTGATCCTGCTGGGAGGGAGCAGCTTGCTGAGGTCCCTGCTCATCCGTCATGTCCTGTCTGAGATCAACCGGCTGGCAGAACACCTCTGGATCACCTGCCAGGTAAGGACCAGGACACACACACCTCTGGATGGCCAGGGCTTTCCACACAGGCCTGGGGTGAGGGAAGGGAGGATGTTACAGTCTTATATAGGATAAGTCAAATCATTGACTTTGATGCTGTTTTATAGGACTGTTTATTATGCATATACAGTGAGCCAGTATTGGGACAGTGACACGTGTTATGTTGTTTTCACTCTAACCTCAGTCATTGTATCATTTGCTGGAGTGCAAAGTATTGGCACAAATGTACTTATGTGTATTAAAAAGTTAAGTATTTGGTCCCATATTCATAGCACGCAATGACTACATCAAGCTTGACTACAAATTTGTTGGAAGCATTTGCTGTTTGTTTTGGTTGTGTTTCAGATTATTGTGTGCCCAGTAGAAATTAATGGTAAATAATGAATTGTCATTTTTGGTGTCACTTTTATTGTAAATAAGAATATAATATGTTTCTAAACACTTCTACATTAATGTGGATGCTACCATGATTACAGATCCTGAATGAGTCGTGAATAATGATGAGTGAGAAAGTTAAACGCACAAATATCATACCCCCCCCCCCCCCCCTCCCCCCAAAAAAATAATAATGCTAACCTCCCCTCTTATTGTAATGGTGAGAGGTTAGCATGTCTTGTGGGTATGATATTTGAGTGTCTAACTTTCTCACTCAGGGCATATCGCCCAAGCCTACATGTCACAGCATTGGTCTCAGGTAGCCTACATGGTGTGGTGGGTGATGCTGTTTGACTGGCATGTCTCCTCTGAAAGCCAGTGTATACAGACAGCCCAGCCGCCAGCAGTCTTGCAAAATTGAAATGTGTGAATAGGGAATTGGAAGCAGATCATTCTCCCTTCTCGTGGCGCTCCACTCCCACTGTAGAGAGACAGTCAGTCATGCATGTTTGTGTGTCTTTACTTCACCCCATTGAAAAAAGCCCTTATTGAAGCAGTCCTGAGCAAAAACAGAACACATTGCTGCTGTACCAAGTGAATGAGAAAATATAATTTCTGTCACGTAATTTTGTCTGGAAGCAAAGTCCTAGACATTGGTTTATTAAATACTATAGGACCTTTTCTTTGCTGAGAGTATTGATGTTGAGTTATTTAAGTACACTGTGGCTGCTACTGTAGACCACTGTCATTTGGTGATAATGTATTCAAATGACCTGAAATTGCTCACTTAATTTTCGGGACTGTTGACTTGCCTCATATCCCTCTAACATTGAGTTCTTGACACTTCAAAGCCATTGTGACCTGGCACTTGACCCCCCTGCTGTCAATGTAGAAAAAGGGGCGGCTAAATTGCTTGTAAAGACATCTACCATTTGAAGACTTAGCCACCAGACTGGCTAATGAGTAGAGCCCGATCAATATATCGGTTCACCGATATTATCGGCTGATATTGGCCTTTTACTAACATATCGGTATCGGCCGATAATTCCACCGATAACCAATATTCAATAAATATGATGAAAAAAGGGAATCTCATGCTTATCCGAACACTTGGATGGCAATGTGTCATTATTGTCACAATGTAAGAAATCAACATTTGAAGCATATTTCTTGGCCAATTGGATGGCAATTTATGAGAACTCGGTGTGGAAAAATTACACGTAAAAAATGTCCCTGCTGTAAAACAGTATATCGGTAGATATATCGGTATTGGTAAGTTTTGTCCCCCCCAAAAGAATCGGAATCGGTATCGCTCTACTAGGCCTAGTACCTCACCCCTCAGAGAATGGAAGTCCCTGATTGCGTCCCAAATGGCACCCTTTTCCCTTTATAAGACACCACTTTTGACTAGGGCCAATAGGGCTCTGGGCAAAAGTAGTGCACTATATAGGGAATAGGGTGCCATTTGGAACACATCCCCTATGATGCGGTTGAGAGGACTGAGGTGCACTTAACAGAACTTTGAATGGGCTGCTGGCTTGCATTCGCACTATGCTACATTACTACAACAACAACAGGCTTCATTTGCTCTACAAGCTTGTCTGTGCTGTTGTTGAACGTTTGCATGAAAATGGAGACATAACAGGCTTCTTTTTGGTTGATTTAGTCTTGGAGTATACTCTCTATACAATAATACATGAATGCAACTGTGGAGAAAAGGCCAGTGCATTGAGAGCTGTAGGCTGGGCTGCCTGATTTGCACATCAAAACACAGCAAGGGAATTGTATAACGCATCAAGTCTCCATTACTGCACCTTGCCTCGCAATGCAGTGCAGCAATTTGTGTTAATACTGTATGATTTTTCTAGAGCTGTGGTCGAGTCCTGGGAAATAAAGTTTGAAGACTTGCCAGCCAGGCCTAAAACTCACTTTTTTTGTATACCAGGCACTGTTGCAGGTAGATTTAGAAAATCGACCAGCCACTGATTTTTTTTTTTACCATCCAAAATACTTTTGGGGCCATAATTACACAAGGAGACACAAAAAAAACTGATGAGCATGCTTAGTAATGTTTCTAAAACAACAAATGTATTGCTAGTGAGATGTAATGTGATATTGCTCTATGTAATTTAACATTCTGTGACCTGACATGTGCGAGCGTTGCAAAATAAATGTACACATACATGTTATTCAATCATTGCATCCACACTGCTCACGTGCGTTAACAAGTGTCTGCGTAGCCAGGCTCTAAAATAGAACTTGGTTCTATTTGTGATGCTTGACGCGCTGCAAGTCCCGCCTCTCCCATCTCATTGGTTTTTAGGAGCATATACCCACATGGGTGATTAAAAGATGAACTGAGGTCCACACTCCAATCCAGTTGGTGGTGGTAATGCACCTTAAAGTTGGATGCCAACCGCCATAGAAAGTCCAAAGAAGAAGAAGGAGAGATTACTATAAACTAACTCTGTTTACCCTTTTATCTGTGGATTAATTGTCAGCGTAGAGGACCTTGTGCATTTCAGGTAAAATAACAACCCAATGTTTATATCCCAGGACAAAGTAACTAGCAACAGTAAGCTAGCTAGCTAAATTGCCATAAATGTTTAATGCTTTTCGACCTGTCCCCAAATTAATATACACTGCTCAAAAAAATAAAGGGAACACTTAAACAACACAATGTAACTCCAAGTCAATCACACTTCTGTGAAATCAAACTGTCCACTTAGGAAGCAACACTGATTTACAATAAATGTCACATGCTGTTGTGCAAATGGAATAGACAACAGGTGGAAATGATAGGCAATTAGCAAGACACCCCCAATAAAGAAGTGGTTCTGCAGGTGGTGACCACAGACCACTTCTCAGTTCCTATGCTTCCTGGCTGATGTTTTGGTCACTTGAATGCTGGCGGTGCTTTCACTCTAGTGGTAGCATGAGACGGAATCTACAACCCACACAAGTGGCTCAGGTAGTGCAGATCATCCAGGATGGCACATCAATGCGAGCTGTGGCAAGAAGGTTTGCTGTGTCTGTCAGCGTAGTGTCCAGAGCATGGAGGCGCTACCAGGAGACAGGCCAGTACATCAGGAGATGTGGAGGAGGCCATAGGAGGGCAACAACCCAGCAGCAGGACCGCTACCTCCGTTTTTGTGCAAGGAGGAGCAGGAGGAGCACTCCCAGAGCCCTGCAAAATGACCTCCAGCAGGCCACAAATGTGCATGTGTCTTCTCAAACGGTCGGAAACAGACTCCATGAGGGTGGTATGAGGGCCCGACGTCCACAGGTGGGGGTTGTGCTTACAGCCCAACACCGTGCAGGACGTTTGGCATTTGCCAGAGAACACCAAGATTGGCAAATTCGCCACTGGCACCCTGTGCTCTTCACAGATGAAAGCAGGTTCACACTGAGCACGTGACAGACGTGACAGAGTCTGGAGACGCCGTGGAGAACGTTCTGCTGCCTGCAACATCCTCCAGCATGACCGGTTTGGCGGTGGGTCAGTCATGGTGTGGGGTGGCATTTCTTTGGGGGGCCGCACAGCCCTCCATGTGCTCGCCAGAGGTAGCCTGACTGCCATTAGGTACCGAGATGAGATCCTCAGACCCCTTGTGAGACCATATGCTGGTGCGGTTGGCCCTGGGTTCCTCCTAATGCAAGACAATGCTAGACCTCATGTGGCTGGAGTGTGTCAGCAGTTCCTGCAAGAGGAAGGCATTGATGCTATGGACTGGCCCGCCCATTCCCCAGACCTGAATCCAATTGAGCACATCTGGGACATCATGTCTCGCTCCATCCACCAACGCCATGTTGTACCACAGACTGTCCAGGAGTTGGCGGATGCTTTAGTCCAGGTCTGGGAGGAGATCCCTCAGGAGACCATCCGCCACCTCATCAGGAGCATGCCCAGGCGTTGTAGGGAGGTCATACAGGCACGTGGAGGCCACACACACTACTGAGCCTCATTTTGACTTGTTTTAAGGACATTACATCAAATGTTGGATCAGCCTGTAGTGTGGTTTTCCACTTTAATTTTGAGGGGGTACTCCAAATCCAGACCTCCATGGGTTGATACATTTGATTTCCATTGATAATTTTTGTGTGATTTTGTTGTCAGCACATTCAACTATGTAAAGAAAAAAGTATTTAATAAGATTATTTCATTCATTCAGATCTAGGATGTGTTATTTTAGTGTTCCCTTGATTTTTTGAGCAGTGTAGTTGGTTCAGACATCGTTTTGATATTTCAACCTGCGTGTCCTGATCGCGTCTGGTGTGGATGGACAAAATCAACATGCGCGCTGCACGCGAGCGCCCGGTCTAGTCAGCATGAGTATTTTAACAAAAATGTTTAACTTGCCCTTTAAGATTACCTTGGTAACAGGGCCACTAGTCATCACGTGTGAGAATGTCACCAGTAGAGGCCAATGTTGTCTGTTTTTGCTAGTAATCTCAAACATTGAAAAGCAACCTAGCTTGTGAACAAAACAATGTAAATAGACAAGAAAAACGAGGAAAAGGTCTCACTTTAGTAGACTTTCGAGTAAATTAGACAAACTTTTATGCCTGTGCCCATTGCTTCTAAAAACTAATCTTTCAGTGCTCACAGCCCCCCAGACAGACGGTGTTGCTGAGTGAGGTGGGATAGCTATAATGTTAGGAATCAGATTTATTTGTGCATTACCAGATATGAAACAAAACAGCAGAAATACTTTGAAAACAGCTACAGCAGCATTTATTTTGCTATAAATCACAACTCGCGCTTGTGGCCATAATTGACTTTTGGTATTAATTGCTCACACTGTTGGGCATGCAGTGTTACCACGCGCCAACGTGGCTGGTGAATTAGACATTCTTACCCACCAATGCCAAAATCAATACACAGTACTGTATGCAGAGAGCATCATTGGACTGATAGCCTCCCTGTGTGTGTGTGTGTGTGTGTGTGTGTGTGTGTGTGTGTGTGTGTGTGCGCGCATGTTTTAGCTTCCCTGTGTCTGCGTGTGACCCCTGTCTTTCCCCCAGATCTGCAGTGTGACTATGATAAAGGCAGACCTGTCAGGTGAGGTGTATTTCTAGGGTGATTTATGTGAGCATTAAGATTCCGTTAACCCTTCACACAGGGTGACAGAGGCATATGGTTTCCTCCTGCCTCTGTAGCCTAATGCACTCAGCAAGGGGTAATTCTGTGGGGGCTGCTCCTCTGGGATGGAGGTAAGGACGATCAGTTAAGTCCACCACCACACACACCACCGCAACATAAACACACTACCCTGGCCACTAGAGAGGTGAGATAGGCATCTCCATCTGTTTGCTAGACCTTTCCCATGGTAAAACAGTCAGGGCTGGGTAAAGGTTGTATAAGGGACAAGATCTGTGTGTTGGCCTAAAATTGCTTTTATCAACCATGTCACTAGTTGTTTCCCTGTTAATGTAGCGGTCTAGAAACACGTAATAACAAGACAGTTCTAAGGACAACATGGAGAGGATGCTCAATTATGCCAAATTGTTTCAATGATGAGTCAGAGCTCTACTGGATCTGGTTGTACTCTGAGAAGTAATTTAGGATCAAATTGTTGGATAATTGGTTTGTTGCCCGATGGACATTGTAATCATGATTATTATGAGAATGATTACGTTTCTAATTGTTTTTTCTACAGCTGTAGGCTACATATAGCCTAATACTGAACCAAAGAGTGGTGTCACCTCAGGTCTCTAGTGATGAGAATCAATTAAATAATGATTACTTCAGTAGTATTTTCTTTAAGCCATTATTATTTAATCGGCAGCGTTAAAAAGGGAGTAGTGACTATTAGGGTTGGCGGATATTACGATATAATCGGAAATCAATTATGTTTGACAGACATCGTCGATGGCAATGACATTGTGATGTGACAGACGATATTTTTTTACAGACGATAGTTTAACCTATTTAAACATGACTGGCACCGCCGGAGTAGGGCAGCGCACAACAGTGCAGCTCACAGCCGGGCGACACGCCAAATGACCTACCTATTCCTATTTGCCATTGCCCTTTTCAATAAATATGTAGGTAGACTTAGCCTACTATTAACATAATGCAAGAGTAGGCCTACAATGTAGATTGTAGACGCAGCGGAGAGTGCCAAAAGCTGTGCAAAATGTCAGATAACATTTCTCTCGCTCACCGCTCCAATGTCGGATGATCATGGGCCTTTTGCAGCGGACACTCCGTTGTATGGCGTGTTTTAAAAGCTTCATTTCCCTTTTTGTCCCAATCCCCATTTTATTTGAATGTGACTTGTTGGTCTAAGCATATCTTTCATGATCATCATTCAAATGAATCTAGGAGGCCAGTAACAGAGTTCTATCTCAGAAAGTTATGTTTGTGAATAGCCTAAATAAAAACATTATATGGTAATAATGAGAGAGGAAGAACCAACAATTGCAAGATAGAATAATTGAATGGGAAGTTTAAACAAACCTGCGCAACGGGCATTACAAATGCTCCCACAGCAGCGCTTTCGATAAGCAGAAACAAAATATAAATGTGCCTATAAAAAGAAGAACCCACATTTGGATAGGCTACAAATTACAACATAAATCAAGTAAATAAAATAAGTACGAAATTTACCAAATAAATGATAGTGCAAATCAGTTTAAATCATACAACAGAATATTCTAGCCTAGGCTACATTTATTTGGAATAAGACTCATCTGTGAATACATGCTATGAAAATAAAATAAATAAAAAGCAATGAAGAACCATTCAGACTATTTTTATTTTCATTATATATTAACCTACCTAAAGGTTACTGGCAAGGAACACAAGCATGTTCACCTTTTCTGGCTTTAATAGACTGCGGAGTGGGGTAACAATATTGCCTACTGAAAACACGTTCAGACAGAACACTTTTAACACAGATGCAGAGAAAAAAATAGACGATACAATCATACAGTGCCTTGCAAAAATATTCATCCCCTTGGCGTTTTTCCTATTTTGTTGCATTACAACCTGTAATTTAAATGGATTTTTATTTGGATTTCATGTAATGGACATACACAAAATAGTCCAAATTGGTGAAGTGAAATGAAAAAAGAACTTGTTTAAAAAAATTCTCAAAAATAAATAACGGGAAAGTGGTGTGTGCATATGTATTCACCCCCTTTGCTATGAAGCCCCTAAATAAGATCTGGTGCAACCAATTACCTTCAGAAGTCACATAATTAGTTAGATTGCACACAGGTGGACTTTATTTAAGTGTCACATGATCTGTCACATGATCTCAGTATATATACACCTGTTCTGAAAGGCCCCAGAGTCTGCAACACCACTAAGCAAGGGGCACCCCTAAGCAAGCGGCACCATGAAGACCAAGGAGCTCTCCAAACAGGTCAGGGACAAAGTTGTAGAGAAGCACAGATCAGGGTTGGGTTATAAAAAAATATCAGAAACTTTGAACATCCCACGGAGCACCATTAAATCCATTATTAAAAAATGGAAAGAATATGGCACCACAACAAACCTGCCAAGAGAGGGCCCCCCACCAAAACTCACGGCCCAGGCAAGGAGGGCATTAACCATAGAAGCAACAAAGAGACCAAAGATAACCCTGAACCCTGGGGCGGCAGGTAGCTTAGTGGTTAAGAGCTTTGTGCCAGTAACCGAATGGTCGCTGGTTCTAATCCCCGAGCCGACTAGGTGAAAAAAATCTGTCTGTGCCCTTGAGCAAGGCACTTAACCCTAATTGCTCCTGTAAGTCGCTCTGGATAAGAGCGTCTGCTAAATGACTAAAATGTAAATGTAAGGAGCTGCAAAGCTCCACAGCGGAGATTGGAGTATCTGTCCATAGGACCACTAAGCCGTACACTCCACAGAGCTGGGCTTTACGGAAGAGTGGCCAGAAAAAAGCCATTGCTTAATGAAAAAAATAAGCAAACGCGTTTGGTGTTCGCCAAAAGGCATGTGGGAGACTCCCCAAACATATGGAAGAAGGTACTCTGGTCAGATGAGACTAAAATTGAGCTTTCTGGCCATCAAGGAAAACGCTATGTCTGGCGCAAACCCAACACCTCTCATCACCCCGAGAACACCATCCCCACAGTGAAGCATGGTGGTGGCAGCATCATGCTGTGAGGATGTTTTTCATCAGCAGGGAATGGGAAATTGGTCAGAATTGAAGGAATGATGGATGGCGCTAAATACAGGGAAATTCTTGAGGGAAACCTGTTTCAGTCTAACAGAGATTTGTGACTAGGACGGAGGTTCACCCTCCAGCAGGACAATGACCCTAAGCATACTGCTAAAGCAACACTCCCGTGGTTTAAGGGGAAACATTTAAATGTCTTGTAATGGCCTAGTCAAAGCCCAGACCTCAATCCAATTGAGAATCTGTGGTATGACTTAAAGATTGCTGTACACCAGCAGAACCCATCCAACTTGAAGGAGCTGGAGCAGTTTTGCCTTGAAGAATGGGCAGCAATCCCAGTGGCTAGATGTGCCAAGCTTATAGAGAAATACCCCAAGAGACTTGCAGCTGTAATGCTGCAAAAGGTGGCTCTACAAAGTATTGACTTTGGGTGGGTGAGTAGTTATGCACGCTCAAGTTTTATTTTTTTAGTCTTATTTTTTGTTTGTTTCACAATTAATAAATATTTTGAATTTTCAAAGTGGTAGGCATGTTGTGTAAATCAAATGATACAAACCCCCCCCCCCCAAAAAAAATCAATTTTAATTCCAGGTTGTAAGGCAACAAAATAGGAATACTGCCAAGGGGGGTGAATACTTTCGCAAGCCACTGTATATCAACGATGTTTGGACAGGTCGATGGGGCGATGTGTGATTCCAGACATCGCCCAACCCTAGTGACTATTCCATAAGCATAGTTTAGCCCAGCCAGGCTGCAGGTTTGCAGGCTCCGGTGGCGGTAGGTGGGTTGCCACTGCCCTTGGACCGGTGAAACATTCAGAGAAGCCCAGCCATCTGGGCCCCGTGTTGCTCTGTCACAGGGCATGACAGTCACAGCACATAGCACCCTACCAGACAGACTACCCACACAGCCCATAGGACGAACGGTACAAACACTCACTCACTTCTCCAATAACACTATAACCCTGGGCAGTAAAAATGACAATCTGGACTGGATTGGAGCCATAACTGTGCATGTACCCTCTGTTGTCCTGTTGTTCTGACTGTGCTTTATGTCAAGTTTAAATCATGGTGGTTCTGTGGCTATTGTTGAAGCAATTTATCACCCTTGCCCTGTCATTTTGTAATTAGTAGAACACTTTACCAGAGCCATATATTTAGATATATGGCTCTTCTATTTACTGGTGGTTGTCTTTTTCCTCTTACTAACATAGGGGTACTCCAAGGACAAACCCATAGCCTGAATATGATCTATCAGACTCGGTGTCCAAGCAGCAAATCTGTTTTTTATTGTCTAATTAGAGTGTGCTAGCTAGCCCAGTCTTAAGTCTGGGAAGTGATTGTCAGGGATGACTACCCTTAATAATATGAAGTTTGGCTTCAGGATGATGAATGAAAGTTATCAGATGTGCAGAGCTCGGTCAGTTATCATGTCAGCTAGAGCCAGAGGAAATTAGTGTCAGAGCTGAGGCTTGTAAAGGCCAATGGCAGCAAAAACTGTTCTGTTTAGCCTCAGAAAACTGTAGTGTAATGCTCAGGGGAAAATTTTCGCTCCGGGTTACGGTGTCCATCTACAGTAAGCAGACCACTTACTTTTCATCCCTAAATGTCATGAGTGAGATCTGTACTTCAAACACATTTTTAGCCAAAGCCTTCAGTAGAATCAGCTTTCCCTTTCATTTTTGGAGAGAATATGCTAATCTTGCCTGAGTTGGGAAGGATGCACACTGAAAGTTGAGAGTGTAATTATATATCATCATTGTCAGTTTGAGATGTTATTTAGATACTTTTTTTTTTAGATTTCAGAGCAGCCCACTTCCCCATTTATCAATGACTCCTTTCTGATGCAAAGCACCTTCTCCTCATCATAACATCCTGTACATGTCGCCATTGCAGCCTGAAGGCCCATGTATACACAGCAAATTGGCCAGTGTTACCTAGTGTTGATTTTTCAGTGTAACATGTCTAGTGTTGATTCAGGTGTTAAATTAACACTCATTGGTGTAAAATAACCCCAGTGTTGGTGTTAATAATGCCTATCATTTATCATATTTCCCAGCATGCTCTGTTGCAGGTAGATTTTTTTAGAATGGTTTGTTTCATGCTATGTGTTTGCACGTACATTGATTAATTAATCTTATGCAACTCAAATATAAATAACATAAATGGTTCTACTAATCCAATCTGTTACTTCGACTTAATGCACCCGTTACTGAAATGGTTGTTCCAGTTTAGATGGTTTAGGTAGTCTCATATCTTAGTCTTCCCAACCCGGCAGTCATTCTGAATGCATGTTGCGGGTGAATAAAAATTCAAAATGTTGGATATCCCCACTCTTTATGCCAGCATAAAGTGACTTGCAAGCCCGATGTGGCCTGTAAACCATGAGTTTCAGGCCACTGTATTAGGGTAAAGCTCTCAAAATAAGGCCTTATGAAATACGTGTTGTATTGTGTTTTATTTATAGATAGATACACACACACACACTACCAGTCAATTGTTTGGACACACCTACTCATTCAAGGGTTTTTCTTTATTTTTACTATTTTTTACATTGTAGAATAGAAGTGAAGACATCAAAACTAAGAAATAACACATATGGAATCATGTAGTAACCAAAAAAGTGTTAAACAAATCAAAAATACATTTTATATTTGAGATTCTTCTAATACTGGCTCTCATAAGGACCGCCGCAGGAATGGAAGCCCCAGAGTTACCTCTGCTGCAGAGGTTAAGTTCATTAGAGTTACCAGCCTCAGAAATTGCAGGCCAAATAAATGCTTCACAGAGTTCAAGTAACATACACATCTCAACATCAACTGTTCAGAGGGGACTGTGTGAATCAGGCCTTCATGGTCGAATTGCTGCAAAGAAACCACTACTGAAGGACACCAATAATAAGAGGAGAGACCTGCTTGGGCCAAGAAACATGAGCTATGGACATTAGGCCGGTGGAAATGTGTCCTTTGGTCTGGAGTCCAAATTTGAGATTTTTGAGTGAGCATAAATTGAAATAATTTGCTTTCTTTATTTTACTGGATTTAAACATGAACTCACTCATAACAACAGCTTTCGTTGACACATGACACTCTCTAGTCATGGTTTTAGATGTTTTGAAATCACAGTAGTATCAACTGACTTTGCTGTGTGCTCGAGGAAGCTGCAGAGTGCAAACACGGTGATCTGAGCAATCCGATTGGGTAGTGGTTGGCCTATAGGTGTACTTGATTTGCTCGCCGGGCACGCCGAGTAGGCGGAGTTTACCTTCAGACACATGAAATGGTTCAAAATGGGAAAACTTTGCAGGGCAGCTGAAACAAGTGCACCTACTGCCAACAGTGCAGGACAGAAAAAAGGAATGGGTTTTATAGATATGTTTTGAGATCGATTAGGAATGCCTTGGAGATCGACCAGTCCATCGCGATTGACCGTTTGGTGACTGATTTATACTAAACTTAGTCTGGGCTTGATAGCCAGCTTGCTATGCTAACTGCAGGCTAACTAGGAGGAACATTGTATCGTGAGAGACGAAATGCACCCTGGGAATCGTAGTATGCTCTAGACGAGGAATCGTGCAGTATGACTAACAAAAACAATAAAACATCAATGTGTATCAAATCTTACAGTAGTGCATTTATACTAAAAGCGTAATAACTGGTTATAAAGTGGCGGAATTGTCCTTTTAAAGGAAAAAGGTAAAAGAGAAACTGACGAGTAGACTTTTCATGAGGATCTCAAACTCTTATAGCCTAGTAATGGGTGGTGTGCAGTGCACCTGAGGAAAAACGCCATCCTTTGCCAATTTATCCTTTACCAAATACAGAGTGTAGAGAAGGAGAAAGAGTGTGTGTTCATTCATGTCTCTGTGAGTCTCATAAAACTCATGTTATTCTAGCATTACTGATGTCCCCCCAGCTGACATGCAGCCGAGGTGAAGCCCCGTATATCGTATCCAGCAAGCCTACGAGTCTGAGGGAAACATGACTTATGGCTCTCAGCACTTCATGATACTGATGCTCATTAAAACCCTGGCATTTCTGACTGAGCTATGTCTCTCATTACACATCTGGCTAGTGCGTTTACAAGACTGTGTGTGTGTGTGTAACAAACTGCCGCCTCGCTCTCTCTCTCTCTTTGTGCGCTCTCTCTTATTCTCCACGATTGGTGCTTCCCCTCCTGCGCCAGTGACAGGTTTCAAGAAAGATCAGATTAAGAGCAGCAGCAGAGATTTTGCTGGACTGTTAAATAGCCAGGATCAAAGTCATACTTGGCCCCTCAAAGCAGTACAGATCTCTAACCGAGAGGGAAAATGAAGCTGTTTGATCAAAGTCATGTTATGATGAGACAAAGCCAGGAGCCACCAGTGCGTCGGTAAATCGCCTCCCCCTTCCGCCGCCTTCGACAGACTCTCACACTCTCTGCTGATGAGCATTAGAGCAAACAAATGTGTATCATGGTAGACAATGTGTTTTTCTCTATGAATGCTTGCATTCTGTTCAGGAGACTCTACATACTTCTGTGTTGTGAGATGGTACATAGTATACAAATAGTATAATTTTTTGTAGTCTCTTGGTGCCTTGACAATATTACTTTTTATAAAAAATTTAATAGCTTATGTTATTCTTGTCTATAACTGTGCTGTACTCTGTCATGTGTTTTATGTGGGCCTCAGGAAGAATAGCTGCTGCATGTGCAACAGCTAATGGGGATCCTAAACTAGGAGGCCACCAGTGAAGAGGTTTTGGTAATGCTCTGCAGACCAGCCCTCTTTGTCCTGTAGCTTAGCACATAGCAGCAGCCAGCTGCTCTGTGCCATCAGCATTGACCTACACACAGAGGCACTGGAGATGAAGAAATAAAGTAAGCCTTATCTGAGCCAGAACGCCCCACAGGGCAGAAGTCTATCTCCTGTGTCTGTAGCATGAGGCATCTTGATGTACAAGTACACCCTCTGGACAAAAAATCTATCACAAAAAAAAACAGACCTGGTAAATAGAGCAGAGAGGAGCCTGGGCAAGGACAGGCTGGGGAGAGAGTAGGGGTGGGCGATATGAGCTAAAATTCATATCACGATATTTTCCACTGTCCAGACGATATCGATATGATATCACGATATATGACGTAAAAAAATATGAATCACATTTTAATATCCCTTCTTGGTTAAATTATATTAGTTAAGGAAAAATATGTATTTGAACCTTATATAACCAGAAAGAGTGAGGCATTGGACCGTATGGACCTGAAAAGTTTTTATTTGTATTGTGCAAACATGCATTCCGTAAACATGAGGTAGGTAGGCCTATATATATATATATATATATATATATATAAATTAGATATTAAGTAAAATTAAATAAAAAATAACAGGAGATAAAGAAAATAAGGTAATTACAAATTCAAATACGTGTGTTTGTTTTGGCTACGGTCCGTAGATATGTAAAAAACTAACCGTTTGAAACTAAACCTTTCAAGCCTCAACCATCAATTATCAACAATATCAACAAATCTTCACTAGAACTTTCTTCACAAGTTCCGTGCCAGGAATACCAGCATGTTGACTGTTTCTGGCTTTAGTGCTGCCCTGTGACATGTCACCACATTGCCCCCAGTGCTGAATGCCCTCTCAGAGGGGGCACTTGTGGCAGGGATGCATAAGTATTTCTTTGCCAGACAACTCACACGTGGAAAATTAGATCCGTGAAATCGCCACCACTCCAAAGGATCAGACTCGCTGTCTGCTGCCGTTGCCAGAATGTAGCTATTCAGCTCTTGCTCAATGATCTGCCTCTCTGAACATGAGGCAGGTGCACTGCTGGTCTGCTTAAAGAAGCTCCCAAGGCTCTTCTTGGGCTTCTTGCCTGATTGATGAGCAGTGGAAGCTTCTTTCTCCCTGTCAGTGTGATCCTCTGCAAGAGACGATTTTCCCAGGGCTGTGTTCTCCACCAGGAGGGCTTCGGTCTCTGAGGCAGCTCTCACCTTAAAAAATGAAAATAATTAAACTTTATTTGTATAGCACCTTTCATACATAAAATGCAGCCCAAAGTGCTTTACATTTGAAGCAATAAAACAAGAACAAATGAATAAATACCTTAATGTCCTCCAGTTTCTCAGCGGACATGTACCTGGTCTTGAACCTTGGATCTAGAAAGGTAGCCATGGAGAGCAGCTCATCTGTTGCAGGGTCAGTGTACTTGTTATTCAAGTAATCAAGAACCTTGATCTTGATCTCTTTGGTCAGTTCTGTATCGTCCTTGCTCAGATTTAGAACCTCTGCATTTAACAGATTGATGACAGGCTTCAAATAGGACACGCTCACATACGCTTCTCCTGACAGGGCATCTGTAAAGTCCTGGAGTGGCTTCAGTGCTGCTGTGACTGATTCCAAGACCTGGATGTCTTGCCAGGTAGGTACAAGGTGCCGTGTCTTTTTGTCCCCTGCCAGGACCTGTGTAATGGCCTTTTCCTGCTCCAGGACTCTTTCCATCATTTTCAGACGAGATCCCCACCTTGTCGGAGATTCTGTGATGAGCTTGTGCAGGGGCAGGCTTAGTTCATTCTGTGCTGTCATCAGGGCCTTCTGCTTTTTCCAGCTGTATGAGAACGTGCTAACCACCTTTTTGCAAACCCCTGTGGCCCGGGAAATCGCACACCCCTGTGGCCCGGGAGCGTTTTGGACACTCCTCTCTGGAAATTGGGAATAAGAAATCAAAATAATAGGGTGAAAAATAATCGAATCACAATACAATAATAATTAATAATAATGCATTTTTATATAGAAATCACAATACAATATAACTTTTAATCTTTGTTTGAGGATTTACGGCATTTACATTCAACTGTTACACATTTTACAAATCTGATGTGCTTAGATTTAGCCTACGGTACATGGCTGATGTGAGCTGTATTTTTTCTTAATAATAAGCATCATACAGGGTAGGCCTAGGCTACAGTCCTGAAACTTACCAATAGCATTGTGCAGCCTGTGTCCGAAACATCCAAGGTTTGCCCACTTGTTCAGCTGCAATGCCTTGATCATGTTCGATCCGCTGTCGGTCGTCATACAAACTTGACGCGACTCTTTTAATCCCCAGGACGACAGTATGTCCCTCAGCCCACCTGCAATTATTTCCCCGGTGTGGTCGTCTGGGAAATAAGACGTCTGTAGGCACTTACTTTTCAGTTTCCAGTCACCGTCTATGTAATGGATTGTGAGGCTTATATAAGGTTCTGTGGTACGACTTGACCATAGATCGGCAGTAGTGGAGAAGAATGGAATGTTATTTATCTCACTGTAAACTCTGTCCCAGCATTCTGTGTAAAGCTGTGGCAGGCATTTTTGGCTAAAATATTTGCGGCTCGGGATCTCATATATTGGGTCCAGAGTTTGAATCAACTTTCTGAACCCCTCTTTCTCCACAGTTTGAATCGGTACCATGTCCTTCGCTATGTGATTTGTAATCGCAGCTGTGATGTCTATCCATTTTTTGCTCGTCTTCTCATAGCAAGTACCGGCAGCAAATGATGATATAATTGATTGTTGAGTGCGAGTCTGGCTTGTCTTCGGGCGAGCTCCTGGGCTTACTGTCTCACGCATTCTGGTGCATTGTTCATACTCACGGACATGTATGTTTTTTAAGTGATTGAACAGGTTGGTCGTGTTTCCACCTTTTGCTAAGACAACACGACGACACAACTTGCATAGGGTAGTGTTTTGGTCGGGGTCGGAGATTTTAAAGCCAAACCAGTTCCAAACAACAGAGGTGCCCCCTTTCTTCTTAACCAATTTATCCTCCTGCTCTTGAGCAACATCAATTTCTGTGTTTTCGCTCATCCTGGATTGTAAAGTTTTCCCCCAATAGTTAACCTGCCTCCTAACTGCAGCTGCCTGCACACTTCTTTGTTGCTAGCACTACATGCGTGCAACAAGTGCATGCGACGTGCGCTCATAAAAATAGGTCAACATATTAACATACATTATTTTATTCGTAAGAACCAAGAAAGGTTGGATAAAAAAAATAAAAAAAAGATGTAGCTACTTAGTACTATCACTCAGTTGAAATTTGGAACAAAAAAATATTGATGCAAAATTCGAATTTATGAATTCTGAATAAATCGCGGTATCCATGATATTGCTAAATCCATATCATGGCGCGGCACAATACCGGTTTTTACTATCAAACCGGTATATCGCCCACTCCTAGGAGAGAGGTAACTGGGGAGAAGGTGGACTGGACTAAGGCAGGCGTGCAGGCAGAGGGGGCTGTAGCCTGTGGGGTTTCTGTCTGTCAAACCCAATTTCTTGGGGAAATTGGTGGAATATTGCAGTTCAACCCAGGTGATGTAATACATCCCTCTGAAGGTTGATGTCACTTTTGGTCTCTTCATCATGAATGTAGTGGGCAGTGAATGTGCCAGTGAGTCAGCATCCGTATACTCACTCCATCACAACGGTTCTGACTGAGGCAAGACCTCAAGATACAGTTTTCTGAAGAACTACAAAATGCTTTTCTTCCTCAGAGAATAGCCTAGATTTTAATGGTGTTGCTTTTGAGACAAGCTTGAAGAATTTGGTGTTTGTTTTATCTTGTAACAAAAGGTATATGTCCACACACTAAAAGCGGTCAAAATGTGGTCAGATAGAACTCAGAGAATTCCCTCGCGGATGAGATGGGATCGATTAGCTGTCCGAGAAATCAGTTTATTGTAGCTTTCTCTGAGGCAGAAGACAAATCAATTCTGGGGAGTTGTTTTCCTTATCTTGAGCCAAGGTGATGACGGCTGTGTGGGCTAGGATTGTCTGACTCTGTAGTGCTGGCTACAATAGGCCTCAGTCAGATGGCTATCAGGAAGGTTTTTATTCACTAAGCACATCTGCTCGGCTCTGCTCTTCACAGTTTACACACAGACCTCATGACATAGAATGGGATTGCAAAGACCGGACCAACTGTCCTGGGAAGAAGCCATTTTTCGTCAGCAGCTGTTTTGTTTCCACTGAAAGAGATTTATTGATTTATGGTCCAGATTTTTTTTTTAAGAATTTTCACGCCTCATAACTTGTCCTGCACTGATCATTGATCTGCTTTATAGTGCGTATGAGCTACTTGCATAGCATAGCATTATTTGCAAATAAGTACAGTACAATGTTCATCATAGAAATGGATTGAAATGTGGGTTCAAAAGTTACCTTTTAAAATGATTTGAAATGGGTACTCGTCATCTCTTGGCTGCTGAAACAAGGTAAGTCCCAAGGGGTCTCATAGTCAAATATCTCAGACTCCAAACGCTATTACATTTTCAGAGTTTGGAAGAGTAACCCTCCAAATATGTGGCCTGCGGGCAGGTTTTGTTTGACATTTGGTTTGTACAGCGAATCTGTCACAGACGCAAACGTTGGTGTTTTGAGGATCTGGCTACTAAGTAAAGTGAACCGTGTTCGTGATGAGCAAATGTCTATTTGCTTTTGTGTTGTTGGCTCTGTACTGAAATGAGCAAACACTGCATGGGTATATTGTCCACCCGCCAATACAAATAGACACTGTCAGGTCCATAATTGTTGGCACCCTTGATAAAGATCGTATGAAGTAAAAAATACAAATACTGAGCTATGTTGTATGCTCAAAAAAAATTGGGAAATTATACTGAACAAAAATATAAATGCAACATGCAACTATTTCAAATATTTTACTGAGTTACAGTTCATATAAGGAAATCAGTCAAATTAAATGAATTCATTAGGCCCTAATCTATGGATTTCACATGACTGAGCAGGGGTGCAGCCATGGGAGGGCACAGGCCCACCCACTTGGTAGCCAGGCCCACCCACTGGGGAGCCAGGCCCAGCCAATCAGAATGAGTTTTTCCCCACAAAAATCAACATTTTGCAATGGCCATCTCAGTCTCCGGACTTGAACCCAATTGAAAACCTGTGGTTTGAATTGAAGAGGGCAGTCCATAAGAACAGACAAAGGATATCAAGGATCTGGAAAGATTCTGTAAGGAGGAATGTTCTAAGATCCCTCCCAATGTGTTCTCCAATCTCATCAAACATGATGGGGGAGGGTGCTAGAGTATTGAAAACAGGGTTGCCAATAATCAATTTTTTTATATTACTTGTTAAACAAAATCTCTTCTGAGCAATTTTATTAGTATAAAATAATACAATTCCCCATTTGAGCATACAATATAACTCAGAATGTGCATTTATTTTAAACAGTCTTGTTTGCTCATCTTTATCAAGGGTGCCAATAATTATGGACTACGTTTTGATACAGAGTTATGCAATATTAGAATCTTAGCATCACTAACATTATCTGTGGTCTACCCACAGTGCATATTAATTCCATTCAGGCCACATTGGAGGCTGTTTTGCCGTCGCCCATATTAACCACCAAATAATTAATTTTTCTGTCCTTCTCTATCAATTGAAGGCCTTTGTAATGTATTAGTTTATTTGGATCCCCATTTAGCTTTTGCAGAAGCATCAGCTACTCTTCCTACGGTCCACAAAAAACATGACGTAACAAAACACTGATACACTGATAGACAAGGACAGTCACACATTTAAAATACGAGATACAAACAATACAACTAAAAAATAATACAAACAGTACTACAAGAGTGTGTGTTTGTGTGTCCCCCCACAGTCCCCGCTGTTCCTTGAGAGAGGTTGTTTAATCAATTTTTTAAAGGTAATTTTGCTGTTTGCTTAAGTAATTGTAGATGGAAAGAAGTTCCTTGCAATCGAATTAAGTCTAATTTTATTTGTTGCATGCGCCGAATAAAACCGGTGTAGACTTTACCGTGAAATGCTTCCTTACGAGCCCTTTCCCAACAATGCAAAAATAAAAAGTAAAACTAATTAGCTAAACATTTAAAAAGGAAATAGTAGCACAATAAAATAACAATAACGAGGCTATATACAAGGAGTACCGGTACCGAGTCAATGTGCAGGGGGTAATTGAGGTAAAATGTACAATTAGATAGGGGTAAAAGTGACTAGGCAATTCAGGATAGATAATGAACAGAGTAGCAGCAGAGGATGTGAAAGTGTGTGTGTGTGTGTGTTGGAGTGTCAGTGTAGTATGTGTGGGTAGAGTCCAGTGAGTGTGCATAGAGCCAGTGCAAGAGAGCCAGTGCAAAAAAAAAGGTGGGGTCAATGGAAATAGTCCGGGTAGCCATTTGATTAACTGTTCAGCAGTTTTATGGCTTGGGGGTAGAAGCTGTTCAGGAGCGTTTTAGTCCCAGACTTGGCGCTATTGTAGAGCAGAGGTAGAACAGGACAGAGGAAGAGATCTAACTAGAAGTGAAACCCACCCCACTTAAATGGCACCCTATTCCCTATATAGTGCACTACTTTTGACCATATTTATGGGCCCTGGTCAAAGGTAGTGCACTATATAGGGAATAGGGTGCCATTTTGGATACAGACACAGTGTCTACCAAAGTCCTGGAGGATCGCAGGCTATGCATTTAGATGAGTGTTAATACTGAGCCTGCCCGCTGACTGGCTGTCTGGACACAGTATTGTTGAGTTAGTGAGCACTGAGCAGGGGAGCAGCTCTGCTCTGGAAAAGGGAGACTATTTTATTTTCCCTTATCTTTCCTCCTTCCCTTGTCTGAATCAAACAGTGGGCTTTACTCTTTCGCCTCCGCTCTGTCGACGAATCAATCTCTGTCTATCATTATATTACTACCCCTTTAGACCTCTTAGCACAGCTTTATCATGCTGTCTACACTTTTGTTCTCCCAATCTCTTTCTCTCTCTGAGATTGTGATAGCTGGCTCTCCAATCAGAGAGTGGGACTGTATGTAGTCTCCTAGCTGTAACGAGCCACAGGTCTAATCACTTATTATTGATATCACTTATTATTGATACACTACATGACCAAAAGTATGTGGACACCTGCTCGTCGAAAAACTCATTCCAAAGTCATGGGCATTAATATGCAGTTGGTCCCCCATTTGCTGCTATAACCTGCCTCCACTCTTCTGGAAAGGCTTTCCATTAGATGTTGGAACATTGCTGTGGGGACTTGCTTCCACTCAGCCACGAGCATTAGGCCTGGCTCGCAGTCGGCGTTCCAATTCATCCCAAAGATTTCCCTTCACTGGAACTAAGGAGCTTAGCCCGAACCATGAAAAACAGACCCAGACCATTATTCCTCCTCCATCAAACGTTATAGTTTACACTATGCATTGGGGCAGGTAGCGTTCTCCTGGCATCCGCCAAACAGTGTGATTCATCACTCCAGAGAACGCGTTTCCACTGCTCCAGAGGCCAATGGCAGCAAGCTTTACACCACTCCAGCCGACGCTTGGCGATGCGCATGGTGATCTTAGGCTTGTGTGTGGCTGCTCGGCCATGGAAACCCATTTCATGAAGCTCCCGACAAACAGTTATTGTGCTGACGTTACTTCCAGAGGCAGTTTGGAACTCAGTAGTGAGTGTTGCAACCGAGGACACAATTAAAAAATACTTTGAATTTTCAAAATGGTAGGCATGTTGTGTAAATCAAATGATACAAACCCTCAACAAATCCATTTTAATTCCAGGTTGTAAGGCAACAAAATAGGAAAAATGCCAAGGGGGGTTGAATACTTTCGCAAGCCACTGTATACTTACCTAAAAAAAAAATGGATCTTCTATTACGGTATTTGAATGTTTGGTTTGCTAAATGTGTATACGCCGTATGTAACGTCCATTTTTATAGTTTACTCCGCTACTTGAGTCATCTCTCTCCATGCCGCTTCCCACACATACCTAGCCCCGCCCCGTGTCACTCAAGGAGCGCATTTGTTGTTCCTCGACCACGAGACACTTTCGTTAAGTCTGCATGGTCAATACAGCACATACAACCATGTTGATGACAACGATGTTGTTTTCAGTTTGCTTCTTAATATAAATCCACTAGCGTTCTATCATTACACTATTAGTTTGTGTTTCTTACATCTGCAAATGGCTAGTTTGTCTTTTCTTAGCAAGTTGGGCCTAAATCATGTTAGCCGCTTATGCTAATCGCTGGTTAGCTGGCTAGCTAGCTAATAAATGTACTGAATTAGAGCAAACGTAACTAGCTATACAGCCTGATAATACCAGTGATGGTGTAGACCTAATTCAGCATGTTGTTTGTGCAACCGTAACTTCTAAATCAAAGAGGAATATGCGAATCATGAATATGTAAGCTACATGAAGTAGCTAAGAGAAAACATTCAATGTAGCCAAATATTATAGGGTCCCCTAGGAAACACTTATAAACGCTTAGGTTCCTACTAGGGCTGCACGATATATCGTTTCAGCATCGACATTGCGATGTATGCATCCGCAATAGTCACATCGCAGAACATGCGATTTAGTAAGGTAAACATATATCAGTCTACAATATATATATATATATGTTTTTTTTTTAATGTTAAACTAGCATTATATCTGTCTGATATAATGTAATTTACTCAGATTTATGGGTTATTGGATACACAGTTTATTATTATTATTATTATTTTAAACACGGAGTTCGTTGTTGCACGTGGTTGCGAGGAACAGGCAAAAAAGACAGAAATTGAGAATGTGGTTGCAAAAAGAAATGCATCGTCAATGATATGGAAATATTTCGGCTACAGACAGGATGATGTTGACCAAAAACAGGTACTTTGTCGAGAGTGCCTTGCAATTGTTGCCGCAACACGACCAATTTGTTCGATCATTTAAGGCGGCACCACAAGTCTTCATATGACGAGTGCAAAGCATCTCAAAGCCCTCCAAAGCAAAAATATATTTTGGATGCCTTTGCCAGTATTACACCATACGAGAAAGGTTCCAAACGGCAGAGAGAAATCACAGATTCAATAACATTTCATGTCGCCAAAGACATGGTACCAATTAACACGGTTACCAAAGAGGGTTTTAAAAACATGATCCGGTCGCTTGACAAGCGGTATGTAATGTATTCACGCAACTATTTTTCTCAAGTTGCCATCCCAGAGTTGTACGAGAAATGCAAGGCACAAATTGAAACAGAGCTGTCACAAGTGGAATATTATACAGCAACAACGGACTTGTGGTCCAGCCGGACAACGGAGCCCTACATAAGTCTGACCGTACACTTTATTAATGAGGACTTCCACCTAAAAAGTCGCTGAGGATCATACATACAGTGGGGAAAAAAGTATTTAGTCAGCCACCAATTGTGCAAGTTCTCCCACTTAAAAAGATGAGAGAGGCCTGTAATTTTCATCATAGGTACACGTCAGCTATGACAGACAAAATGAGGGGGAAAAAATCCAGAAAATCACATTGTAGGATTTTTAATGAATTTATTTGCAAATTATGGTGGAAAATAAGTATTTGGTCAATAACAAAAGTTTGTCAATACTTTGTTATATACCCTTTGTTGGCAATGACACAGGTCAAACGTTTTCTGTAAGTCTTCACAAGGTTTTCACACACTGTTGCTGGTATTTTGGCCCATTCCTCCATTCAGATCTCCTCTAGAGCAGTGATGTTTTGGGGCTGTCGCTGGGCAACACAGACTTTCAACTCCCTCCAAAGATTTTCTATGGGGTTGAGATCTGGAGACTGGCTAGGCCACTCCAGGGCCTTGAAATGCTTCTTACGAAGCCACTCCTTCGTTGCCCGGGCGGTGTGTTTGGGATCATTGTCATGCTGAAAGACCCAGCCACGTTTCATCTTCAATGCCCTTGCTGATGGAAGGAGGTTTTCACTCAAAATCTCAAGATACATGGCCCCATTCATTCTTTCCTTTACACGGATCAGTCGTCCTGGTCCCTTTGCAGAAAAACAGCCCCAAAGCATGATGTTTCCACCCCCATGCTTCACAGTAGGTATGGTGTTCTTTGGATGCAACTCAGCATTATTTGTCCTCCAAACACGACGAGTTGAGTTTTTACCAAAAAGTTCTATTTTGGTTTCATCTGACCATATGACATTCTCCCAGTGCTCTTCTGGATCATCCAAATGCACTCTAGCAAACTTCAGACGGGCCTGGACATGTACTGGTTTAAGCAGGGGGACAAGTCTGGCACTGCAGGATTTGAGTCCCTGGCGGCGTAGTGTGTTACTGATGGTAGGCTTTGTTACTTTGGTCCCAGCTCTCTGCAGGTCATTCACTAGGTCCCCCCGTGTGGTTCTGGGATTTTTGCTCACCGTTCTTGTGATCATTTTGACCCCACGGGGTGAGATCTTGCGTGGAGCCCCAGATCGAGGGAGATTATCAGTGGTCTTGTATGTCTTCCATTTCCTAATAATTGCTCCCACAGTTGATTTCTTCAAACCAAGCTGCTTACCTATTGCAGATTCAGTCTTCCCAGCCTGGTGCAGGTCTACAATTTTGTTTCTGGTGTCCTTTGACAGCTCTTTGGTCTTGGCCATAGTGGAGTTTGGAGTGTGACTGAGGTTGTGGACAGGTGTATTTTATACTGATAACAAGTTCAAACAGGTGCCATTAATACAGGTAACGAGTGGAGGACAGAGGAGCCTCTTAAAGAAGAAGTTACAGGTCTGTGAGAGCCAGAAATCTTGCTTGTTTTGTAGGTGACCAAATACTTATTTTCCACCATAATTTGCAAATAAATTCATAAAAAATCCTACAATGTGATTTTCTGGAAAATAAATTCTCAATTTGTCTGTCATAGTTGACGTGTACCTATGATGAAAATTACAAGCTTCTCTCATCTTTTTAAGTGGGAGAACTTGCACAATTGGTGGCTGACTAAATACTTTTTTCCCCCACTGTACATCCTGTATTTTTTATATCGCAATATACAGTGAGGGGAAAAAAGTATTTGATGCCCTGCTGATTTTGTACGTTTGCCCACTGACAAAGACATGATCAGTCTATAATTTTAATGTTAGGTTTATTTGAACAGTGAGAGACAGAATACATAAAAAATCCAGAAAAACGCATGTCAAAAATGTTATAAATTGATTTGCATTTTAATTAGGGAAATACCCCTCTGCAAAACATGACTTAGTACTTGGTGGCAAAACCCTTGTTGGCAATCACAGAGGTCAGACGTTTCTTGTAGTTGGCCACAAGGTTTGCACACATCTCAGGAGGGATTTTGTCCTACTCCTCTTTGCAGATCTTCTCCAAGTCATTAAGGTTTCGAGGCTGACGTTTGGCAACTCAAACCTTCAGCTCCCTCCACAGATTTTCTATGGGATTAAGGTCTGGAGACTGGCTAGGCCACTCCAGGACCTTAATGTGCTTCTTCTTGAGCCACTCCTTTGTTGCCTTGGCTGTGTGTTTTGGGTCATTGTCATGCTGGAATACCCATCCACAACCCATTTTCAATGCCCTGGCTGAGGGAAGGTTCTCACCCAAGATTTGACGGTACATGGCCCCGTCCATCGTCCCTTTGATGCGGTGAAGTTGTCCTGTCCCCTTAGCATAAAAACACCCCCAAAGCCTAATGTTTCCACCTCCATGTTTGACGGTGGGGATGGTGTTCTTGGGGTCATAGGCAGCATTCCTCCTCCTCCAAACACGTTGAGTTGATGCCAAAGAGCTTGATTTTGGTCTAGTCTGACCACAACACTTTCACCCAGTTCTCCTCTGAATCATTCAGATGTTCATTGGCAAACTTCAGACGGCCCTGTAAATGTGCTTTCTTGAGCAGGGGGACCTTGCGGGCGCTGCAGGATTTCAGTCCTTCACGGCGTAGTGTGTTACCAATTGTTTTCTTGGTGACTATGGTCCCAGCTGCCTTGGGATCATTGACAAGATACTCCCGTGTAGTTCTGGGCTGATTCCTCACCGTTCTCATGATCATTGCAACTCCACGAGGTGAGATCTTGCATGGAGCCCCAGGCCGAGGGAGATTGACAGTTATTTTGTGTTTCTTCCATTTGCGAATAATCGCACCAACTGTTGTCACCTTCTCACCAAGCTGCTTGGCGATGGTCTTGTAGCCCATTCCAGCCTTGTGTAGGTCTACAATCTTGTCCCTGACATCCTTGGAGAGCTCTTTGGTCTTGGCCATGGTGGAGAGTTTGGAATCTGATTGATTGATTGCTTCTGTGGACAGGTGTCTTTTATACAGGTAACAAACTGAGATTAGGAGCACTCCCTTTAAGAGTGTGCTCCTAATCTCAGCTCGTTACCTATATATAAGACACCTGGGAGCCAGAAATCTTTCTGATTGAGAGGGGGTCAAATACTTATTTCCCTCATTAAAATGCAAAACAATTTATAACATTTTTGACATGCGTTATTCTGGATTTTTTTGTTCTTATTCTGTCTCTCACTGTTCAAATAAACCTACCATTAAAATGATAGACTGATCATTTCTTTGTCAGTGGGCAAACGTACAAAATCAGCAGGGGATCAAATACTTTTTTCCCTCACTGTATATCGCAGAAAAACAAAATATCGCAATGTATTTCCAATATCGTGCAACCCTAGTTCCTACCAATGTTCCCTCAAATATTTGGGGGCACTGAGCAAATGTTTGGTCTTGTGAGTGGACAGTTGAACGTTGTGAGAATTTTGTGCAACTTCCGGTGCGCGTTTACAGTGAACACTGAGGCTGTACCCTTACAGTTTTAGACAGTAGCCAATAGGCTATTGTGGCTATTTGAGCATAATATAGGCTTATCAGAATGGCCTACCAAGAAGTCCAATGGAGCAAATCCCATAACATTTTCACATGTAAATAGATTTATATGATATTGCCTACATTAGCCTATATGTGGTTTTCAATGCAGGCCAACATTGCATGAGACTTTTAAAAACATATTTTTTACATTATACAGGGCTTGACATTAACTCATGATTTTTTACTTGGTCTGTAACACCATGGGCCAAATAGGTGACTGTAAATGTCATTGTATTGTGTTGTATGATGCAAGAAACCACTTTACAAAATATAATTGATTATTATGGTCATACAGAGAATTAGACAATGTAGGCTACCCCTCTGCCTATTGGCTTATTTGCACATTCAAGCCTGTCTAAAAATGCAACACTGCCCCTTTAATTAAGACAATCTTTTTACCTGACTTGCTTTTCAAAGACAGCTTGAAATGTAGCCTACACGTTTTGTGCTTGAGTAGGAAGAAGTAACTCCCTATAGCTGACCTATTCTTACCTACAGTGCCTTCGAAAAGTATTCAGACCCCTTGACTTTTTCCACTTTTTGTTACGTTACAGCCTTATTCTAACATTATTTAAATAAATAAATCTTATCAATCTACACACTACCCCATAATGACATAACAAAAACAGGATTTTAGAAATATTTGCAAATGAATAAAAAATAACAGAAACCTTATTTACATAAGTATTCAGACCCTTTGCTACGAGACTCGAAATTGAGGTCAGGTGCATCCTGTTTCCATTGATCATCCCTGAAAAGTTTCTACAACTTGATTGGAGGCCACCTGTGGTAAATACAATTGATTGGACATGATTTGGAAAGGCACACACCTGTCTATATAAGGTCCCACAGTTGACGGTGCATGTCAGAGCCTTGAGGTCTAAGGAATTGTCCGTAGAGCTCTGAGACAGGATTGTGTTGAGGCACAGATCTGGGGAAGGGTACAAAAAAATGTCTGCAGCATTAAAGGTCCCCAAGAACTCAGTGGCCTCCATCTCTTCAAGACTCTTCCTAAAGCTGGCCGCCCGGCCAAACTGAGCAATCGGGGGAGAAGGGCCTTGGTCAGGGAGAGGACCAAGAACCCGATGGTCATTCTGACAGAGCTCCAGAGTTCCTCTGTTGAGATGGGACAACCTTCCAGAAGGACAACCATCTCTGCAGTACTCCACCAATCAGGTCTTTATGGTAGAGTGCCCAGACGGAAGTCACGTCTCAGTAAAAGGCACATGACAACCCGCTTGGAGTTTGCCAAAGGCACCTAAAGGACTCTGACCATGAGACATTTTTTTATCTGGTCTGATGAAACCAAGATTGAACTCTTTGGCCTGAATGCCAAGTGTCACGTCTGGAAGAAACCTGGCACCATCCCTACGGTGAAGCATGGTGATGGCAGGATCATGCTGTGCGGATGTTTTTCAGCAGCAGGGACTGGGAGACTAGTCAGGATCGAGGGAAAGATGAACGGAGCAAAGTACAGAGAGATCCTTGATGAAAACCTGCTCCAGAGCGCTCAGGATCTCAGACTGGGGCGAAAGTTCACCTTCTAACAGGACAACGACCCTAAGCACACAGCCAAGACAACGCAGGAGTGGCTTCAGGACAAGTCTGAATGTCCTTGAGTGGTCCAGCCAGAGCCCGGACTTGAACCTGATCAAACATCTCTGGAGAGACCTGAAAATGGCTGCGCAGCGACGCTCCCCATCCAACCTGACAGAGCTTTAGAGGATCTGCAGAGAAGAATGGGAGAAACTCCCCAAATACAGGTGTGCCAAGCTTGTAGCGTCATACCCAAGAAGACTCAAGGCTGTAATCGCTACCAAAGGTGCTTCAATAAATTACTGAGTAAAGGGTCTGAATACTTATGTAAATTTGCTAAAATGTCTAAAAACCTGTTTTGCTTTGTTATTATGGGGTATTGTGTGTAGATTGATGAGAGAAAAAAATAACAATTTAATCCATTTTAGAATAAGGCTGTAATGTAACTGTGGAAAAAGTGAAGTTGTATGAATACTTTCCGAATGCACTGTATATGTTGGTTTCTGATGGGGAAAGACCGTTGCTCATAACTCATTTCTAAGTTACATTCATCAAGAATCAATGGCTATACACTACCGGTCAAAAGTTTTCGAACACCTATTCATTCAAGGTTTTTTTTTTTTTTTTTTTTTTTTTTTTTTACCATTTTCTACATTGTAGAATAAAGGTGAAGACATCAAAACTATGAAATAACAGATATGGAATGATGTAGTATCCAAAAAAGTGTTAAACAAATCAAAATATATTTTAGATTTTAGATTCTTCAAATAGCCACCCTTTGCCTTGATGACAGCTTTGCACACTCTTGGCATTCTCTCAACCAGCTTCATGAGGTAGTCACCTGGAATGCATTTCAATTAACAGGTGTGCCTTCTTAAAAGTTAATTTGTTGACTATCTTTCCTTCTTAATGCAGTTACGGGGGGTATACAGAAGGTAGCCCTATTTGGTAAAAGACAAAGTCCATATCATGGCAAGAACTGTAGTTGTCACTTTTGCCTTATGGCAAGGTGCTCCATCGTGCTGGAAAAGGTATTGTTCATCATCAAACTGTTCTTGGATGGTTGGGAGAAGTTGCTCTCGGAGGATGTGTTGGTACAATTCTTTATTTATGGCTGTGTTCTTAGGCAAAATTGTGAGTGAGCCCACTCCCTTGGCTGAGAAGCAACCCCACACATGAATGGTCTCAGGATGCTTTACTGTTGTCATGACACATGACTGATGGTAGCGCTCACCTTGTCTTCTCCGGACAAGCTTTTTTCCGGATGCCCCAAACAATCGGAAAGGGGATTCATCAGAGAAAATGACTTTACCCCAGTCCTCATCAATCCAATCCCTGTACCTTTTGCAGAATATCAGTCTGTCCCAGATGTTTTTCCTGGAGAGAAGTGGCTTCATTGCTGCCCTTCTTGACACCAGGCCATCCTCCAAAACTCTTCGCCTCACTGTGCGTGCAGATGCACTCACACCTGCCTGCTGCCATTCCTGAGCAAGCTCTGCACTGGTGGTGCCCCGATCCCGCAGCTGAATCAACTTTAGGAGATGGTCCTGGCGCTTGCTGGACTTTCTTGGGCGCCCTGAAGCCTTTTTCACAACAATTGAACCTCTCTCCTTGAAGTTCTTGATGATCCGATAAATGGTTGATTTAGGTGCAATCTTACTAGCAGCAATATCCTTACCTGTGAAGCCCTTTTTGTGCAAAGCAATGATGACGGCACGTGTTTCCTTGCAGGTAACCATGGTTAACAGAGGAAGAACAATGATTTCAAGCACCACCCTCCTTTTAAATCTTCCAGTCTGTTATTCTAACTCAATCAGCATGACAGAGTGATCTCCAGCCTTGTCCTCGTCAACACTCTCACCTGTGTTAACGAGAGAATCACTGACATGATGTCAGCTGGTCCTTTTGTGGCAGAGCTGAAATGCAGTGGAATTTGTTGGGGGGGGATTAAGTTCATTTTCATGGAGTATATGCAAATTGCCATCATAAAAACTGAGGCAGCAGACTTTGTGAAAATTAATATTTGTGGCATTCTCAAAACTTTTGACCACGACTGTATATCTGTTATGATGCCCAAAAAGCAGAGTGTTGTTTTAGTGACTCAAAGATTAGAGTACTTTAGTCTCCAAAGAGAAACGACTAAGGCTCCTTATTCATTCTGAATATCTCTTCAATATCTCTTCAAGCTGTAAGGTGCCCAAAAGGTAGAGTTGTTTTAGTGACTCAGTGTGTCTGGGCTGTTTTCCTTCCTCAGGAGGACACTGTTATCTGCAGACCGTGGGTGTTCTGGGGTTTGTGAGCTACTCAAAAGGTTTACTACTAGGCTACTTTAGTTTGCCCTCTCAGCATATTTTGTCTTTGCAATGTTGACACAATACTTATTTAAAGTTAGCCAGCAGAAGGCATTATCTGCTGCTGTTTATTGTGCTTGCTATTCTCCACGGTAGCATTGGTCAGCTCATTGAATAGCTTCCTCTTTTATAATAGCAGGATATTTACCATGGGGTCTAAGTGGAAAGTTACTTCTTCCTGAGGGGAGAGGAACACAGAAACCTGATAGAGGTCTTGCAGTTCATTTCAAGACTTCCTCTACATTTTAATTTCCCAACCTGCGCATTATTAATGGACAAATGTATGATCTTGTTTTCTATGATACAACCTATTGGGGGAATAGATTGCATTGTGAAACATTTATATTTAAGCCTTGATGATTACCGTAGACGTTTGATCATACTTTCCCAGGTTGTTGTGGTTTGGGAATACACCTCTAACACTTAGAACCACCTGAGACGTGACACAATCCTCAGAACTTGAGGAGCGGGTGGCAGGTAGGTAGCCGAGCGGTTGGAGTGTTAGGTCAGTAACCGGAAGGTCGCTGGTTCGAATACCCGAGCCAACAACGTGAAAAATGTGTCTGTGCCCTTGAGCAAGGCACTCAACCCTAATTTGCTCCAGGGACGCCGTACTGCTGTGTCTGACCCTGTAAAACAACACATTTCACTGCACCCTTCTTATTTATTTATTTTAGTTTCCATGGCAGCAGCCATATTGAGAGTATACCATTAGCACCCCAGGGAAAGGAGGTGTACGTACGTGATCTAACCCTGATGGGGTCTGAGTGAGTCAGGCAGGAGAGAGTATGTCACATCCTGTCAGCTCTCTGGAGACAGCCCACGACCTGGAGCCGCACCTGACAGCCATCTGGCTGCTGTTGTACTCGTTGACACTCCACACAAACGCAAACACTTAAACCACAGACACACACACACACACACACACACACACACACAGTCACATACACAAACATCACAAGCGTAAATGGCACTCACACACACACACACACACACACACAAATAGCACACACACACAAACATACACAAACACAGTGACACCAGTCAACTGGGATTAGGTTTAGCGCCTCAAAGTACACTTTTTGTCCAATTTTGTCAAGTTTTTCTCTAAATTCGGTTGAGTGTATATAATTATTTTTCATTTCTCTTTTTAGAAGCCTGTAAAATGACCTGAGAGCAGGTTGAGTTGAAATATAAAAAAAAAAAGAGTGAGATACTGTTGGTATTTATTCCAGCCAGGTAGTTTACTTTAATTGCCTGTGTGATGTTTGTGTTTTTCAGGGGGAAAGCAGCAATGGGCCCGGCCAGTTTGACATGTCCCTGTATGAGAACTCCTTCTACCTGTTCTGGCTCCTGGAGCAGCTCCTTCAGGTCCGACAAGGACCTCCAGGGGCCACAGGGGGGACTGGACACCACTGGAGCCCAGAGCAGAAGGCCCTTCTGGGCCGGCTGGAGCATAGCGTCTTGCTCCTGTCCGATGACTTCCCTCTGTACGCCCTCTACATGTGGAGGATAGGGGCTCTCCTCGCCCCCTCCTCCGACATCAACAACACCCAGACCTGAGACTGGTGTTCCAGGAACTAGCATGGCACCGCCACACGCGTTTAATTAAACCTCCAGGTTTTTCTACTTCAAAGGGCTGCAGAAGTTGGTGCTGTTAGTCAAGTAGGATTTGACTGACATGGCAGGACTTGACTGCAGTGGAGAATGAGGTGGTGGCTCCATTTGATATTCATTGAGGTAGGCTATCTCCTCGGAAGAAGAAGAATCTAAAAATAGTGTTGTGGCTCGTATAGTAAGCTAAACCAATTATTCTTGTTGAAAACGTGTGGCAATGTGAAAATGACTACTGTGGATGGCATTATGAGTTTTTATTTAGACTGTAAATGTAGAATTAACATGCTGAGTATTGTATGAGCAGCTATTTACAGGAACATATTACTGTAAGGAAGGAATGTACAGAATGTTTTGTGCTTAGACATCCACGTTTTAATTTGTTGATTCTATTAGCAAGATGTAGCATTTTTACTAAAATTATTTGAAGAGAAAAAAAGCCAAAAATGTTTGTATTCCAGATTTTCTCCTTACAGATTAAAGTCCATGTAAATATTTGGTTTTTAGATCTGTTTATGGAAGTATTTAGTGATATATTTAACATGTTGTAAATAAAATAAATCTGCCATTTTAAAAGCAACATCCTGCTCCTTCCCTAACTTTTCCTAAATATTTGTATTTTACATTGCTCTGTTGTCAGAATATTAAAATCTCAAACAGAAAAGTATTTAGAGGCTGTTCACCTGTTTTATTTTTTTCACACCTATTACCACCCCCAAAGTTCTAAGGGCCCTGGACTGGGTTTCTACTAAGCTAATATATGGAATTGTTTTAAGATGGTCCTACCAAGGAACATTTAGCTATTTGATTTTGAATTTTTTTTAAATTGAATAATTTGATGAAACATTGAATTTGGCCTTACTGCTATTAGCCCATAGAAACGCATTGAATAACATTCATACAGTGGGGGAAAAAAGTATTTAGTCAGCCACCAATTGTGCAAGTTCTCCCACTTAAAAAGATGATAGAGGCCTGTAATTTTCATCATAGGTACACGTCAACTATGACAGAAAAAAAATCCAGAAAAATCACATTGTAGGATTTTTAATGAATTTATTTGCAAATTATGGTGGAAAATAAGTATTTGGTCACCTACAAACAAGCAAGATTTCTGGCTCTCACAGACCTGTAACTTTTTCTTTAAGAGGCTCCTCTGTCCTCCACTCGTTACCTGTATTAATGGCACCTGTTTGAACTTGTTATCAGTATAAAAGACACCTGTCCACAACCTCAAACAGTCACACTCCAAACTCCACTATGGCCAAGACCAAAGAGCTGTCAAAGGACACCAGAAACAAAATTGTAGACCTGCACCAGGCTGGGAAGACTGAATCTGCAATAGGTAAGCAGCTTGGTTTGAAGAAATCAACTGTGGGAGCAATTATTAGGAAATGGAAGACATACAAGACCACTGATAATCTCCCTCGATCTGGGGCTCCATGCAAGATCTCACCCCGTGGGGTCAAAATGATCACAAGAACGGTGAGCAAAAATCCCAGAACCACACGAGGGGACCTAGTGAATGACCTGCAGAGAGCTGGGACCAAAGTAACAAAGCCTACCATTAGTAACACACTACGCCGCCAGGGACTCAAATCCTGCAGTGCCAGACGTGTCCCCCTGCTTAAGCCAGTACATGTCCAGGCAGGCCCGTCTGAAGTTTGCTAGAGTGCATTTGAATGATCCAGAAGAGGATTGGGAGAATGTCATATGGTCAGATGAAACCAAAATAGAACTTTTTGGTAAAAACTCAACTCGTCGTGTTTGGAGGACAAAGAATGCTGAGTTGCATCCAAAGAACACAATACCTACTGTGAAGCATGGGGGTGGAAACATCATGCTTTGGGGCTGTTTTTCTGCAAAGGGACCAGGACGACTGATCCGTGTAAAGGAAAGAATGAATGGGGCCATGTATCGTGAGATTTTGAGTGAAAACCTCCTTCCATCAGCAAGGGCATTGAAGATGAAACGTGGCTGGGTCTTTCAGCATGACAATGATCCCAAACACACCGCCCGGGCAACGAAGGAGTGGCTTCGTAAGAAGCATTTCAAGGTCCTGGAGTGGCCTAGCCTGTCTCCAGATCTCAACCCCATAGAAAATCTTTGGAGGGAGTTGAAAGTCTGTGTTGCCCAGCGACAGCCCCAAAACATCACTGCTCTAGAGGAGATCTGCATGGAGGAATGGGCCAAAATACCAGCAACAGTGTGTGAAAACCTTGTGAAGACTTACAGAAAACGTTTGACCTGTGTCATTGCCAACAAAGGGTATATAACAAAGTATTTAGAAACTTTTGTTATTGACCAAATACTTATTTTCCACCATAATTTGCAAATAAATTCATTAAAAATCCTACAATGTGATTTTCTGGATTTTTTTTCTGTCATAGTTGACGTGTACCTATGATGAAAATTACAGGCCTCTCTCATCTTTTTAAGTGGGAGAACTTGCACAATTGGTGGCTGACTAAATACTTTTTTTCCCCACTGTACATGGCATAACAGATCGTCCAAAAATGCATGAAAAGTTTGTTTTGAAGTGTCTGGCCTTTATCTGGGAGGTATAAGAAAGCTCAGGAATTTAGTATACATATTTTGTAACACATTTGTAACCCCTTTTTTTGGCACTTAAGTACTTCCATATGCCTTCAGAAAGTATTCATACCCCTTCACTTATTCCACATTTTGTTGTGTTACAGCCTGAATAAAAAATTGATTACATATATTTTTCCTCACATCTACACACTAAAGTGAAATCATGTTTTTTGACATTTTTGCAAATTTATTGAAAATGAAATGCATAAATATCTAATTTACATCATTATTCACACCCGTGAGAATACTTTGTATAAGCACCTTTGGCGGCGATTACAGCTGAGAGTCTTTTGGGGTAAAGCTCTAAGAGATTTGCACAAGTGGATTGTACAATATTCGCCCATTATTCTTTTAAAAATTCTTCAACCTCTGTCAAGTTGATTGTTCATCATTGCTAGACAGCCATTTTCAAGTCTTGCCATAGATTTTCAAGCCAATTTAAGTCAAAACTGTAACTAGGCCATTCAGGAACATTCAACGTCGTCTTGGTAAGCAACTCCACTGTAGATCTGGCCTTGTGTTTTAGGTTATTGTCCTTCTGAAAGGTGAATTAATCTCCCAGTGTCTGTTAGAAAGCAGACGGAACCAGGTTTTCATCTAGGATTTTGCCTGTGCTTAGCTCAATTTAGTTTATTTTTATCCTCCAAAAAATACGACGACAAGCTTGAAAATATGAGTGGGGGCCTCCCGAGTGGCGCAGCGGTCTAAGGCACTGCATTGCAGTACTTGAGGCGTCGCTACAGACCCGGGTTCGATCCCAGGCTGTGTCACAACCGGCCGTGACCGGGAGTCCCATAGGGCGGCGCACAATTGGCCCAGTGTCATCCGGGTTAGGGTACGGTTTGGCCAGGGGGGCTTTACTTGTGCTCATCGTGCTCTAGCGACACCTTGTGGGGGCTGGGCGCCTGCAGTTGAACGGTGTTTCCTCCGACACATTGGTGCAGCTGGCTTCCAGGTTAAGCGGGCAGGTGTTAAGAAACGCGGTTTGGTGGGTCATTACGATCTTGTCTCCCCAATTTCGTGATATCCAATTGCGATCCAATTACGATCTTGTCTCATCACTGCAACTCCCCAAAGGGCTCGGGAGAGGCGAAGGTCGAGTCATGCTGAAACTCCCCAAAGGGCTCGGGAAAGGCGAAGGTCAAGTAATGTGTACTCACGCATGACTCGACATTCGCCTCTCCTGAGCCCGTTGGGGAGTTGCAGCGATGAGACAAGATCGCAATTGGATATCACGAAAAAGGGGGTAAAATATAAAAAAATGAAGTGGTACTCAGTGATGTGTTGTGTTTCTTGGCCACATTTTATGCAGTATTACTTAAGTGCCTTTTTGCAAACAGAATGCATGTTTTGGAATATTTGTATTCTGTACAAGCTTTCTTCTTTTCACTCTGTCATTTAGGTTAGTATTGTGGAGTAACTACAATGTTGTTGATCCATCCTCAGTTTTCTCATATCACAACCATTAAATCACCATTGGCCTCATGGTGAAATCCTTGAGCAGTTTCCTTCTTCTCCAGCAACTGAGTGAGGAAGGACGCCTGTATCTTTGTAGTGGCTGGTTGTATTGATACACCATCCAAAGCCTAAATAATAACTTCACCATGCTCAAAGGGATATTCAGCATCTGCTTTTTTTTTTTTTTTTTTTTACACATCTACCAATCGGTGTCCTTCTTTGCGAGGCATTGAAAACCTCCCTGGTCTTTGTGGTTGAATACAGTGAGGGAAAAAAGTATTTGATCCCCTGCTGATTTTGTATGTTTGCCCACTGGCAAAGAAATTATCAGTCTATAATTTTAATGGTAGGTTTATTTGAACAGTGAGAGACAGAATAACAACAAAAAAATCCAGAAAAACGCATGTCAAAAATGTTAGAAATTGATTTGCATTTTAATGAGGGAAATAAGTATTTGACCCCTCTGCAAAACATGACTTAGTACTTAGTGGCAAAACCCTTGTTGGCAATCATAGAGGTCAGACGTTTCTTGTAGTTGGCCACCAGGTTTGCACACATCTCAGGAGGGATTTTGTCCCACTCCTCTTTGCAGATCTTCTCCAAGTCATTAAGGTTTCGAGGCTGACGTTTGGCAACTCGAACCTTCAGCTCCCTCCACAGATTTTCTATGGGATTAAGGTCTGGAGACTGGCTAGGCCACTCCAGGACCTTAATGTGCTTCTTCTTGAGCCACTCCTTTGTTGCCTTGGCTGTGTGTTTTGGGTCATTGTCATGCTGGAATACCCATCCACGACCCATTTTCAATGCCCTGGCTGAGGGAAGGAGGTTCTCACCCAAGATTTGATCGTCCCTTTGATGTGGTGAAGTTGTCCTGTCCCCTTAGCAGAAAAACACCCCCA